TAAAAAAGAGATGCACAAACACACCACACGCACCACGAAGAGCAACGACACCGATTTCCAAAGCCTTCTCGTTAGTGAGCTGCGCGATAACCGCGTTCTCTCGAAGGGGATTGGCCAGGTTGTAAATTGACATTAATGTGCTTTCTATTCAGGTCAGTGAACTCGCAGTGCGACCGCTGTCACAATCGTGCTCTGCGAGGAGGTCAGAGTGAAACCAAGCTGAAAAAAAATCTTTATATGCTCTTATCTTTTCCTGAATGACAGGCTTATGTCATTTCCTTCCATATTAAATTAGCAGAAAAGATAATCCGGCCCACTTCATAAATCCTCTTTTATGAGCCGCTTTAAAAAAAAAAAAAAAAAAAATGCCATGCCGACCCACCGCTTGAACAGCACAAACTGACCAAGTACACATCTCATTTTATTGATTAAATAGGAAACTACATCGGTCAGACTATATGCACACAGATTGAGCAGAAGCAGGATGAGGATATGTGTCAATATACAAACTGCAAAAACACATCTCTGCATCCTCTCAAACGTCCGCGGAGCCAGCCGTAATGGCGGCCGAGTCCTTTCCGTCCCTGTTTCAAAGTCCCAGTCTCTCCCTTTGTCCACCATGTGATCAACCCATCTTTATATAGGAGCAGGCAAACACATAAGAGCATGTACATTGGACGAGTGCAAATATAAAATGGCACGTTTTCTGCTACATACAGTCGATCCCGAGCTAGGTGTGGAATGTATATTAGGAGCTGCGCGGTTTCTGGATAGAAACAAGAGTGGTCCCGGAAAGAAAGACAAGAAGGTTGTTGACGGCCTCTACAAAACGTCTGTGTAACAAAAGTTGAAAATAGTGTAGAAAAGATTGAATTGAAACCTGTAGGAAAAGCAACCTTTCAAAAAAGGCACCAGTCCAAGTTGTGTTTTGTGTGTGGGCATTCCAAGGGAACTTTTTATCTTGCTGTAGATGAATTGTTGTTCAGATTTGACCCTGACCCTTCTGTGACTTTGTGTGTGAGATGTTTGTGCTTAATTTCTGTTCCTTCCTGTAGTTTGTGGTCTTGTGAAGCCGGTTGGTGACAATGAACGTTGACGTTAAAGGGGGAAAATGGTTGCAGTCATAACTTTGGAGAACGGACATGGCGTGTCATAGGATTTTATTATTTTCTCCCCGCACCAGCAGTTGCAGGCTTATTCGCCACCCTCCGAACCGGGACTCTGGAGACGGGTATCTTGGTGCGAGGGGTTTCTTTCGCTTGAGGGGTTTGGGATGCGGGTGGAGACTGTGCACCGTGCTTGACGGGGATCTTGGAGTCACGCGGAGCACCGGCGGGGGCCTTCGACTGGTGAGGCGGTTGACTTTCCTCCTGACTGGGTTTGAAGGTGGCCACATGGACCTCGACACTGCAACCTTTGTCTCCGCTCCCTGTGCTGCGAAAGTCCAAATGACGGCCGTCGTCTTCTATTGGAGTGGGCGGGTCCCTGCTTGAATCGTCATCGGTATGTTGGATGTCCCGCACGGGTTGCTTTCCGACGCGGCCTCCTCCTACCACGGGTATTTTGCTAAGTGCCCTTACTTGCGTCCTCCTTTCTTTGGGGACGTCCATGCGTGACCCATTATGCTGTTCCTCCACTTTGACCGTCCGCGCTTCTGCGCTACTCGGGCGAGACAACTGTCCGTTTGTGGATGGCTCATTGCCGCTCATCTTGTTAGATGCTGCGGTGTCACTTGGCAAAGGCACAGGGGGAGTTGTGAGGAGGGAAGCGGTAGGCAGGTCGGGTGATTTCGGTTGAATCTGTACTGGAGCAGGAGGGTTTTTGGGCACCGACACGGAAATATGGGTCAGGGCAGGGGGCTCGGTCGTCGAGGTTGGCCCGGCAACAGGAGGATCTTTAGTCACAGAAACTAAAGATGCAGGAACAGGAGGGTCTTTCGATACAGTCACAGGGGGCAGAGGGGGAACTGGACTCTGACCTGCGGTTGTCCGAAGTTCTTTAGAAAGTGCAACAACAGTGCTATCTAAAGACACGGGAGATTTTTTAGCGATAGAGAAACTTGTAAAAGCGGTTGGGCTCGGCTCAGGTCGGGGAGATTCTGGCATGACGGAGATCCTATTGGACACCGGTTGGTTGGTCGTTTGTACGGGTTTGGATATGGTTGCGGTGATTGGGGGGAGGGAAATTAAAGGAGGGTGACTTTGAACAGGACTGGGCGCAGTTTCCACCTTTGGAGCTACATTTTGAGGTTTGGCGGAAGAGGAAGTGTGAAAATTGCTATCGGGTCGAGTGCAGGTAGCAGGGGAAGACAGACTATGGGTTGCAGGTTTATGGGATGCAGCTACAGCGGGAGGTTTACTTACTGAGGCAAGAGTTGGAGAAGGAGAAGGGACGGGGGGAGTTGCTGTGTCTGATGAAGCCATGTCGCCAAAGTTACAAGTGCTTTCTTGCGTCCTGTCCAGAGATTTCCGGTTCATGGGAGTCGTGCTCGGTATGGTTTTCATTGCGATTGAAGGGGCGGCCATTGTGGGAGGGCTCGGTGAAAGTTTTGCATTTGTGGTTGACTGAGGTGATTTTATTGTAATCCCAGCAGAAGGTTGCTCTGAGGCTGGAGAAAAGTCTGAACTTGGTTTCACTGATCCAGTTGTCAGTGTGGAGGATTTGGTCAAACTGGTCACAACCGGCGTAGCGACAGAAGACGAGGTTGAGGTTGCCGCATAAGTCAGAGAATGACCGCCGGCAGCTGCGGGTGAGCAAGAGGCGGAGGTCAGAGGACAGGCGGCGGCAGGTCCGGATGAAGGAAAAGTGGCCGATGCCGAGACCTCGGGTGCTTCCAGGCTGGGGCCGCATCTGGCTTTGCTCCACTCAGCCTTGACGTCAGCCATGATGTCTCCTCCTGAGATGGACTCGAAGGTGAGGAGCGAGGAGATGTCGTCCAGCAAGGAGCCCAGGCTGCTCTCGGCGGGCACCACTGGAGCTTCTGCAGCAGGCACGGGTCCCGCGTCCTTCTCAGTTCTGTTCGCATCGTCTGCTTGTGTCAGGGAGCTCTCGCTGCTCGCTTTGTCTGGGCTCTCCAGAGAGCGAGGTTGCGATTTGGGGGTGAGGCCGATGTCCTCTTTGATGATTTCCACACTGTTAGAGCGTGAGGACATGAGGAGTGGGCTCGGGGGAGCGTCCACCTTGTCCTCCTCGTCTTTCGGGCGTAACTTCATGCTGCCAAAGAGACCCTTCAACCCTTGCCGTTGTCGAGTCGACGGCTGGCAGACCGTGTGGACTTTGCGGTCCCCACCTCCTCTGCGGGCTCCCCTCAGCCGTGAAAAAAAACGGAGGGTCTTGGTCGAGCCGGTCGACGAGATGGAGTTGCGAGCGGCGGCCGGGACGCCATCTTCGCCCGTCGGCTCTTCCGCTGCATGCTCGCCGTCTCCTTGACTCACCTCCCGCGCCTTCTCCTTGTCCGCCTCCAGCTCGGAGTCAGGCGCGGCGCCTTCGGGTAATCCATCGAGGGTTTGGCTCCTGGTGACAGGCGATTTGTTGTTTTTAAGAGAAAAGATGTTGCCGGGCTTGCGTTTACCAAACAGCTTGAATCCTTTTCTTATTTTTCCACTTGGTTGGGATTCACAAGGCGGGGGGTCCACGTTCTCCATCTGTACATCCATCTTTCCGATGCGTCAGCCCACGTCTCCTCCCCTCTTTTGATGCCGTTCTTATTCACGACTCGCCAGTTGGAGCATTTATATCCGAGTTTATCTTTGTCTCCGTCGAAAGAGCGCGTCTTCACCTGCGTTGGCCTCGCCACGTTTACTATGTTATCGTCTGTCCGCGTCCCCTCCCTCTGTCCCTCCAATGCTTTCTCCTCTAGTTCTCCCTCGAAAGCCCCTCCCCTTTGCATCGCTTTTGCCTGGCTCCTCTCCCCAGTTACCATGGCAACTGAGGGGGTAAGCTGCTTTCGTCAGCAATGCAGAGCCAGGGGCTGTCATCGACATGTTCTCTCTTTCTCCAAAACGCCTGACGACTGTTTACATAAACCGCAGAGACAATTAGGCTATTAATAGAAATTTGCATGTGAAAAATGATCACGATATGGTCAAATATCTCCACAGGCATAATCAATATCACTAAATGAAGCTTCATTCTGAGTAAAGTGGCCATTTTCTTATCAACTGTGTGAGAGTCAGAGCCAGGCTACATACAGTGGATAGAAAAAGTCCACTCACCCGTTCAAACCTCTTAAACTTTTGAACATTTCTTTCGAGCAGAAGCCTGAAGAATTTGTGCCAGGAATGACGGCTCCTTCAAACTAATTCTTGAAATCCGACGTTCCATTTTTCATGAGTTTATACGTAATTAGTTCATTCTGAACCCAACCATTTCCCACTCATGAAGATGGTGGGCACACTTGCACAATCACATGATGTTAGTTGTTTATTTTGACTTCCCCTGTTGGATTTTTTTTTTTCAGCTGAATCGGACAGATTTCAGTTCACATTAATGGTGGAAAAACGTTTTGAAACGATTTATCTTGGTTTCATTTTTATTTCACAAAACGGTGGTATTCTAACAGGGGTGTGTAGACTTTTATATCCAGTGTACACAAAACATGAAGAAAAGATTCTGAAGTTATACAACCAAGATCTATTGTTTATCCTTCGATGAGGTGTGGTCGAATATTTACCGGTAGGTTGAAAAGAAAATGCGAGGCTTGGGTCTTCATGTTATGTTTAGAACGAATAAATCCAATTCAAAGCGGCAGACAAGCGAGCCTTGGAACCAAAACTGAACACAATGGAGTCATGAGAAAGATTGCATAACTGCTGCGGAGTAGCTACAAGGAAACAAGAAAGTATCTGTTTTGGAAATTCAAGTGAACAGAAAAGCTGGCGTGTAAGTATAGAATTATTAGAATAATGTAAAACCTAGTATTAAGTAAAAATGTAAGACAGTTGTTTGATGAAACATTTCAACTTTGCCGTTTTTATAAATGAGGCGTGTGAGGTGGAGGGGGAGAGCGATAGATCTTTATTTTCAGGTCAGCGCATGAGGCTTTGAAGTGGAACACGCTCTCTTTTGGCCATTAGCGGAACAGCAGAAAAAAGATGCCACCTCATCCGCAGCACAAAGTATTTCCCGCTTTGTACTAAGTGGGTCAGCAGTCTTGAAATAAACCTTTGGTAGCGTTTTTTTTTTTCTCCCCCCCACAGGCAACAGAAGTTTTGGTGGGAGCATTGCATAGATATGAAGACAAACATCACACATTGAAAAGGCTGAAACACAGAACCAACACTTGATCCTCAATACATTGAGCCATAATATTGAATTTACGTGGTATGTAAGTGGTATGAATTCAACAATAAGTTAATCATGAGAGTTTTCAGTGCTGTAAAAACTGTATGACAGCGCAATGATACAATACAAATACTTCTAATTTCGTACTTTGGTCCCGTCGAAGTGGGAAATATGTTCCAGTATGATGCAGCGACAATAATGAACATATTGTGTCTATCATATGACAGCATCAATTGTTGCATAATTGTTGACGCAGCTCTTGTATTAGATATTATTAGTTTGAGTACCCGTAGTCAAGGGATTACAGCACACTGTGTTTTTCTTGCAACAATTATGTAAAATGACTTGATTCATCCTGTACTGTCTATCGATGAAATTAGCAAATACAGCGTTGAGGAAATACTGATCACGCAAAGATTTATTTTCTCCCCCTTGAGTGACAGATGAGGTAGTTTCGCCCCACATCCAATTTGACCGGTGGTACCTCGGTTAAAAGCGCTTCAGCTCCCCTCATTCAGACGTCATGCTCCACGTGAACGGCCTGCAGGGGGGCTCCGTCCTTGAGGTGGTGGTTATGTGCGGGTGAGGGAAGGGTGTCATATGTGCGGCGATAAAAGAAGCGAGTGACCAGGGTGATGATGAACATCTCCATGATCATCATCTGCTGACTCAGCACTGCGGGCAAAAGACAGAAAGGGATTGATTGGGTCCATGTCCCGCCAAAGGGGAGGACAAAAATAGAGACGTGGAAATGTTTCTCACTGGATCCACGGGCCTGCGAAGAGAAGGGAGGGGCGCAGGCGATTGTTCCATCCAGAGCCAGGATGTTGATGATGGATGTCTGCAGTTGACTTAATACGAGTATTAGCTAAGGATTAAAAACAAGCACTTGATGATTGGAATGCACTGAGCAGCCCTTGTATTGTGTTTAAGTTGGGTAACATCCGCGCAGCATACGTCGATCGATGTGCACACGACAGGGAATTGTACTCGTCCCACTGAAATTCGTACTGGCCAGATGCTACATTCATAGCCAACTGCTCGTTGTCTACTCACTTGGTACATGGCGTACTTTGGTACAATGTTGAGGCTGCGTAAAAGATGATTGGTGTTCATGAACACGATGGCGACGGGCCACAGGGAGGTGATGGTGAGAACGCCAATGAACGGGTTGATCCAAATTGCAGTGCCGGTGATCTCTAGCTGGAAAAAAAAAAAAACGGTTTGTATGCAAATCGCTTGCAGTTCAGGGATGAAGCAGGAAAGTCAAACTTACGTCAGAGAGGTCAAAGTTGCCGTTTGTCCACAGTACGATGGAGAGGACACTGAGCACCGTCTTTAGGATGGCGTACTGCAGTGCACCCAACTTCAGCAGGAACAGCATGCCCCTTCAAACCGATAAAATAAGCGGTGGCACTTAACGCCATTGCAGACGACAAGCGGATCAAAACGTTCAGCGTCGGTACCGTGACATGGGTACGCGAGGTAAACACAGGCAGCAACAGCAGCAAGGCCCCGTGGTGATCTTGAAGGGTTTCCCGGAAAAGCGCTTCAGAAACGCATCGCTGCCACCCAACTCCTCGATCAGCAGGACCAGGACTTTGTAGACCACCACTGCAAAATAACTACAGAAATACAACGGCGCTTTAGTAACCACCGCAATTCATGCATTGCTAACAGTGGTGTATCGCAAACATTCTAACTAGTTGCAAGTATTGTGTGACCTGTGATCGTTTCCTGTGTAATGATTCATCGAGTGGTTTAAACTACACTCGGACTTGACACGCAAGATTTCACTCTGTTGTTTTGTAGTTGATGATGTGACAATAGAGTGCCTTTGCTCAAGGGCATATTTCCAACGACACTAGTTGTAATTATCTTTTTTTTTTCCACATTAAAATATTGAACGCTGTGTACAACATCAAAGGTTTAAAAAATAAAAATAAAAATAAACTCACCAATTTGATGTCATATCTGTGAACATAACAGCCCTGGGGATCCACATCCCAAAACAAGACATGGTGGCAATGACCTGAAATAAGAATATCATGCATTAAAACATCCATCATTCCAAAGTCCCATCGTTATTTCAACACATTTTATTCGAGTGGTTAATCGAAGATGAATTTAGGAGGCAATGGCTCACCGGTGCAGCTCCGTTGACCCAGATGACGGTTGTTTTCTTCGGGTAGGGCAGTTTTTTATAAATGTAAACACATTGCTCCAAGTAGAGCAGCAGGGATATGAAGGACATAAAGGTGAGCATGGCGTACAGGCAGATTCCGAACGCATCGAGCTCTGTTTAGAACATACCAAAGAAAGGTTAAAAAAAAGCAGTGCAACATAAGAGCATTCTCTGAGTGGATTAAAAAAGTGGCTATTGTTCTAAAGAGGCCATGAGGTGTTGTACAAAAGTCTTGAATTATTCTTCCTGCCAACTTATTATGAGCTAATTGTTATTTTGCAGTGGATGAGGAGCAGAATATCCAGAGCAGACACTAAAAGCAGTGGGAAACTTTGGAGACTCTCAGATGCTCAACATTGCTGCGCGGCTACAATCTGTCATTCACTTGACCTGCTTGATAAGCAAAGACTTACGCTTGATCACATCCATAGCCAGAGGGGGTTCCTGTAAACAGGCGGGATCCATCGTGATGTTGTCAACTTCTTCCATGGCTCCCGATATTCTTCTTGCCTAAATTTCCCCCCTGTAAAGTCCTGTTATTGGAACTTAATACACTCTGATCAAGCCAAGCTTCTACCTGCAAGGTGACGGTAGGTGGATGGGGTGGAAAAAAAAGTCTTTCTCCTTCACATGGCAGTGTGTGCAATGGGTTCAAAAGTCAAGTGTACTTTAACCGTATGCTACTTTTAAGGAGCCATGGCTTGATGACACGTGAAGAAATGACGGGTTTACGAGAATCCCTCCAGAAGTAACTGTCGCTCATTCATTCACAGACAGTCGCAGTCATTAAAACGACACCAATAGGGAGGCAATGAATGTATCAGTGCACGCGAACTTTGGCTGGGTGTGGGCCTTTCGGGTAATTGTGTATTAAAAAAAAAAACTGCTGGGAATAGATTTAATTACTTCTACATAGTGTGGGGTGGACTGACGTCAGAGATGACACGCAAAAGAAAGACATCTCAAATACTGTCAACACTTTGTGCTTTATAATATTTATGGTTACAAACAGTACAAGGAAGTCATTTACACATATTGATAGTACAGCGGAAGTGAGTACATGTGTTAAACGTGAATTGACACTTGGTATCATAGTTTCATCGAGTTAAACTTTTAGTTTTAGATTTAGTTCTCACACGTGAAGCTTAAATCACCAGGATACTTTTAAGCGTGTGACAAAAAAAAAAGCGATTCACTGTGCTGAATCTCCTTGGACGTATTGCACGTAGGGTTGGCAGCGTACATCTCTCCTCATCCATTCAGTGCGTACGGAGGCTTAACTAACATGAGACGTACTTTAGGAGGCTAGAATAATACTGAATAGCATGTCAATGAATTAGTGAAGTAAAATATACACACTGGCTCGGAGAGTAAAAACATGACCATTTTGTTGTTCATGTTTTAGGACAACAACTAATGCAAACCGCTGGATCGGAGTGCGGCAGTCTAAAGGGTCATGACAAAGCCCTCGTAGTACCAAGTAGCGACCTAACATTAAAAAAAAAAACAAGATATCGGGACTGAAGGATGGCTTCAGTGGACGTGCTGATGGTCAAGGCAACATGTGAGGTCAGCTGGATAAGAAAAAAGAAAAAGTACTTAAAAAAACTGGAGAAAACCTGCCAAGATATAATTAGTAATTATTTGATATACCTTCTATGGCTCGCTTTCCATGGCCACGGACACTGTTTGGACTCCTCCTAAAACAGAAAAACAGCATCCAAAAATTGAGACGCCCGCTTGGTAGAATGACACTCAATTCAATAGTTTTTTTTTTTTTTTTTAAATATAGTGTACCATTCTCTTCCTTCTTGTCATCCACTTCGTGTTGTGTATCGTTGGCCAGCCCATTTGGGTTTATTTCCTCATTAGAAAGACTATAATTCAAGTCACAGTGGTGATTAATTGCAACAACAACAAAAAATAATCAACAGCCAACAAATGAAATGTTTGATTTTTTTTTTTTTTTTAAAGTAACTTAAAATAACCTTTTGCCATTTTGTTGCAAGACGCCGTTTGCCTGTTCAGGATCTATGTGCACCAGTCTGGTTGCAAAAGAATGCCCGTCCCCCAGACTGACGAAACATCAAAAGTCAAGGGTTACTTGTATATTCACGTACTCAATCTGTCTCCATATTATGTGCACTTCCAAATTAGAGGAGAACATTTTTCACCTGGAAAAAATAGGGAATATGAAGTGCTTCGCTTCATCCCCAAAAACCTCGGCGACGTTGCGCTTGAAGCCGAGAGAAAATCCGTTTTTGTCTGGACCTTTTACAAACACCGGGGCCCGAAAAGCCTCTGTTGAGGAGCAGCAAGAAACTGTTAAATTGCACAAGCGTGACATCAGCCAAGCCACGTTTCCAGAATACAAAAGTACCTATGGTGGTCCTGTTCTTGCCTACGAGCCAGAAGTGGTAGCTGAAGAGTGACAGGATGCTGATGAAAAACAGCGCTGCCACAAAGAAAAGGAACAATATGTGGAATTTGGCATGCGTGTTGGGAAGATGTTTCTATGGAGAAGAAAAGAAAGCCAATTATTGACCCTCGACTCAATTAATACAAACTAAATGTACATGTTGCTTGTGAGGAAGTACAAAATGTCAATTGGTTTGGATAAAAGAAGCGTCTGTACTCACAGACCAGAATTTGATGAAGTACTGGACAACTGTAGCGCATATCACGCCGCAGTAAAGTGAAGCATAGGCCAAAAATAAGACAAAGAACTTGTAGTTTGAGAAGCCGACACAGTTATTCACCCTGAAAAAGAGGGGAGAAAAAAAACCCTTGCTAGCTTGACACATGACAACAAAATAGGTTTGTTTTTGTTTTTTTTAGTTACTGTACCAGGGACAATGATGGTCCATTTTGAGCACACACCTTGAACAACAGAAAATAGAGGAGATGTGTAATTAGGTTAACACATCATTTGACAATATCATTTTAACATGCGCAGAAAAGTACGTTTGTTCCGAAAGTCACTGTGCACTTTTCATGTTGATGATGAGGAGGTCGATACTTAATGCATTTTTATTGAAACATCAGTGAACAAAACTATGAGTGCACAGCTGCTTTCAGAACATCCTGAACAGCATCCAACATTTACATCTAACATTTTTTAATATAATTATGAGTACAAATAAGTCTTAAATAAAGTGCATCGACTTACATCTCACAGGTTGAACAATGATGGCAGCGGTCAGGTTTGATCACCTGGCAGAGGTCACAGTATCGGATGACTAGAGCAAATAGAACAAAATAGAATGACTTTTTTTTTTGGCGTCCATTTTGTCTTTTTTTTTTCCAACACATTACCTGTAAATATGAAAATTACCTTTAAATCAAAGGCAGATATTTTGTGTTGTGCCACACACAGAGAAGCAGATCACACACATGCAAGGTATACACAGAAATGTCAGAGTGAAAAGGGGTACGCAAACAACTCTGCTTGTAAATGTATCCCTCCGACGACGTCGTTTTTCTCCGCAGCAGGACCCTCGAGTTCCAAATCCTAGGTCCTGAGTGATGAGCTACTTCCACCCTTAACAGATATGCCACCTCTATAATGCTGTATAAAAACATGACAGTGTTCTACATGTTGTTGTTGGGTGGAAGAGATCACGTGTGCCCGAAGAGGAAAAACAAGTGCACCGGAGTCCAATTAGCCTTCCCGTTAAATGTTGCTCAGGCTACGCATGAACCTGCTGCGCCTGAGCAAGAAAACACAAGCTCTTATAACAAGATGGATATTTTTGAGCAAAATGTAAAAGTGCATAATCAGTTTTAGATTCTAACACGTACTACTTTCATTATTATCATGTTTGTTGGTTTCGATTAATGCCATGTCAGCAATTTTGGTTAAAAGACCAACCAACCAATTTGAAAAGAATAATACATTTTCTGTTTTTGGAATAAAATACATTTGTTGAGAAACTTTTTTTCCCAGTTTGGAGGCACAGGGAGTACTTAACTTTTTGCAAAATGTTGAAAATTGTGAAATTCTTCATCTTGTATGGGCTCCTGCTAGTTACCGTTTTTTTTTGTTTCGTGCTAGCGTGTCAAGGTGATGACGATGACGAATGATGACATGACTAATGATGGGAGGTGTGTGAATTTCCTTTGTTCAAGCACACTCCCTGGTGGTCTGATCTTGAACGGCTTACAATGCAGTCAGTGTTTACAATCGCGGTCAAAGGCCTCACCTCCTCCCGCTGTGCGTGTGTCGACGGGTAAATTCCTAGCCACCTTCTTCAGAATTTCCTGTTGCATCTCCGCTTGCTCTTCCTTTTCAAACTGGTCTTTCTCCGCTCTCGGCAGGGCGAACTGACAGTACAAGAAATTATAGCGCTAATGACCATACATGAGGACAAGGGCCAAGATGAGCACCTGGCCTGTACCTCAGAACTGCGAGCAGTGCAAGGCAAAACATGCTTGCGCGACAAAAGTATAAAGATCAAAACACACACAAAATCTCTCTTTTACCACTTTCGATGGTTCGGCAGGTCTGGTGCAGATGGTCTTCCAGTAAGACCATATGAACATGAAGAAGAAAATGTGGAAGATGACCAGGTAGCTGACTGTTGAGAGGAAGCAAAGATGAAGCAACTCTAATGTAATACTTGCTCACAAAAAATTAAAAAGGAAAATGCACGGTCACTTACTTCTCTCTGCATTGTTTGTGATTGTATCTACAAAGGAAGTAGACAAAAGTATCAGTTAGTGCTCATCAAGAATGCATAAATTCACATCCCCCATTGCACGACACCCAGTCCTGGCACCATGTGGCAGCGGCCTGGCACCGCTTGCAGTACCCCACCCCCCTTGCAATAAGACAATGAGAAAGAGCTTTGTTGAGAAAGAAGGGACGTCCCTCGCCTGACCACAGCAGCTAAAAATCATCGAGATGCAGATAATGGTATCATCAGTTCCATGCTGGCAACTAAAAAGAAGCCATCTGTAATGAAGGACAGTGGATGCTTTTCAGTCCTGTATTCTCATAAATGAATAACTGTCATCCTGCTTGTTTGACAAAAAAAATCTAATTACTTCTGAAACATTTACCTAAATAACTCGTGCATTCTGGGTAAACACCAGGGGGCGGGGGGGGGGGGATACGTTGTAATTCAAACGTTACACTAATTCACTTCATTACACTTAAGTCGATGGAAAAGTTCTGAAAGGTGCCTTCTAAAAAAAAATAAAATGTACTGATGTCAGTCAGATAACTTTGTTACGAGGAAAAAGCCATGTAAGCACATGAGAATAAAATGCAATATTTCAAGAATTTCAACTGCCTTCTAAACGTGCATTACAGAACTTATTTTAGGTTCCATAGTTCAGAAGATAACAGTTGACGTGAGGATACCGTTACGCTTCCTCTTATAGCGCGCAAAAGCACAATTTGTCAAATTAGAATTCTTCGATGGAAAAACTGTAGTAAATGGAAAAAAAACTAATACAAAAAAATAAATGAAGAGCAACCTAACTTTAAAGCCCGGAAATAATCGTAAATCACACTTCGACAAATAACAGCTGACAAGTTGGCGACCGGGAAATTGTCAACACAACCGCATATTCACCTCCACGACAAATTTACATATACACGTATATAAAATTATAAACTTAATTAAATAAAGTATACTTACAAACACAAAGCTCCACAACATAAGCGTAGTACGACCAGCCAACGACCAGGTTAATAAACAGGACAGGTATCCAGTTAAGAGCCCGTTTGCAGCACCTCAGCGTACGAGAGGGCGCCATCTTTAATCTGTATTGGCCGGTCTGTGGCAGCAGGTGGAGTTATGACGTCACGGCCATGCGCGTCGAACACTTAAAAACTACAAATCCCAAGAAGCCCAATGACGTCGAGATTTCCCGAGTCGTGTCGCAGATTTTTTTAATGAACTTTTGCCACGAAAAAAATACATGTCATCATATCATGCATATCAGTTTCCGGTTGAGCATGCAACATGTAGAGTACATAGAAATTGAAATTTGTTTCTTGTACCTTTTAATGGACAAAACACCATAACAACGAATGTGTTGTACTTTAATTTAAATAAACCAGTAACAAATTAATAGCGATTATTATTGAGTTGAATCAGCAGGGAAATTCTCTGACATACTTTGAATCATACTTGGAAAAAAAATTGGATCCAGCATTAAGACCATAAATTCAGATTTGCACATTTGGAGGTAGCCTTGACTAAGAAAAGTGTTCCCATTTCAGTGGCGGCGGGTGGATGGGGAGGCAGGTGGTAAAGTGGAGGAGGGAGACGTTCTGGAGGAAGCTGAGGAGGAGTCAGGAGAGCCTGAGCGCATTCTGGTGGGACTGCTGCTGGGGGAGCCACGAGGGGATGAGTAAGGCGACAGAGCCTGGAGCATTCGTCCACTGTGCTCCTGAATAGCGTGCTGCACAAGGACACAAACAGAAAGGTGGAGCTTGTTAGAATGCTTCAACAGTAAGAATACCTTGGCACAATGTTGATTAAAAATGTGAACAGTAGATGCAAGGCCAGTATATTAAAGAAGGAGATAATACACACTCATTGGACACTTCATCAGATATGTTTTGTAGTTTTAGTATGTAAGACAGGTGCTATAGAAAAGGAATGGATGGAGGTAGAAATATGCCCCAAATCATCTGGGGTAAAAAAAAAAACGTATATAGTTGTTCAAGCATAATATTTTTATGAGGACTGAATATCAAGGTAAACATGCCCAAGCTCCATCTGGTCCAAAAAGCTCCAGAAAGTTTCCAATGAATTCCCGTGACTTCTCTTCCCACTTATGGATGAGGTCCTGGCTCTTCTCCTCCACTCTGTACACAAAATGTTTCGACTTCTCTTCCACTGTACGGACGGTCTCTTTCATCTTGTCCACCTGGTTCTGAAGGCGATATTTCTTCTCCTGTCATGAACATAAAGGTGATTAATTTCTGTTCAGGTTGCTAAAAAAAAAAAAAAAAGATAGAGTACCGGTAATCAAACATATTTCAGCCTTACGTTAATGAATCCAACGTTAAGTTCCCGGGCAGTGTAGCCTCTCTGCAGGTTGCGTCGTACGTAAATGTCGTAGTCTCGCACAATGCGGGTGATCAGGTCGGACGTTGAGATGCCCTCTGTTCTCTGGGTGGCCACAAACATTCCTGCCACAATGACACACGTGACAAATGTTCAAGCTTGAACTAGCTATCCATCCGCCATTTTCCCCCATGGATGAGCTGGAGCCGAACCACCTGACCGTGCTTACATGGCATGAGTAAAATGAAAACTACTGTGATACTATGACTCCTCACCTGCTGCCTTGATGTGCTTATAAACATCCTCTGATCCAGCAGAGGTGTAAGGGATGTCATCATGGGCCACAAAATCAATCTACACGTGTCACACCAAAGTGTTAAAAAGCATCATCCAAAAGGTGGCTTCTTTTCCAACTACACGACCTTTGACCTTGTGTTTCGTCAGGAACTCCGTGCTGAGGGTCCAGGGAGCATCTCGCACCACCTCGTCGACATAGCGGCAGTGCCTCAGGGCCTCATAGCGCTCGTCCTCGGTCATCACCGTGTAGCCCTTGAACTTGTGCGTCAGCTCGTCACTGCACACTTCATACAAACAAACGCAATTGCATTCTCGGCTGATTTTCTTACGCTACCACCAATTAATACACAAGCAAGAGTCGCAGTTTACCTCCCACTATCAGGTGTGTGTTGGGAAACACATTTTTGGCCTGCATCAGAGCTCGGGCATGTCCAGAATGGAAAAGATCAAATATGCCATCAGCGTACACGCGCACTGGTCTATGAGCTACAAGAAATGTGAAAGGAAGAATTACATATTCAATGATAAGATCTCCAAGACATATTGGTACAACTGTACGTCACACATGGCGGCAGTTTTCACTGTAGAGATGGAAAATAACATGAAAATGGCACGGGAAAAAAAAAAAAATCAATGTATTCGCTTAGTGAGGGACAATGTAAAATGGCTGCCAAGGGCTTTCCACCTTGTAATGATGAATAACACGGGATTAGCAGTCGAGGTTATTATAAACTTTAACAGCTGTCGTAAATAAAATGTTGTAGTCAAACCAAAATCTACAGACAACACCATTTTTAAAATGGAAATCGGTGGGAACCTGGTGTGCCCCTCTTGGCCTGGGCTATGGTCAGCTTTTCATGGGGGACCTCGGATTCATAACCAGTCGACTTGGCAAATGCAGCCGGTTCCCGTAAAGCCTGGAAAGTGGATAATAAGAAGCTCATAAGAAATCATCAGGGGTGCCATGGGAAATGATTTTTTACTTTTTTTTGTCAAACAAATGATTAATTACATTGGATGGTAGAAAGGGAAGTGTCTATGTCCTGTTTTTATATAATATTTCTCTTATCTATTTTTATATTGTATTTCTTCATTGTCTGTACAGTGTCCTTGGGTGGCATGAAAGGCGCTTTTAAATAAAATGAATTATTATTATTATTACATTTACACATGAACAATACTTCGCAACACGAAAAGGGCCAAAGTACTAGTTGGTACCTCATGAACTGCCTTCTATCGTGTATTGCCGGTTTCAAAGTGAGTCATCGTCCCACCCATCTTATGAGTTATGTCTAAGTGAGTATTAAAAGTTAACCTTTTTTTTTTCTTGACACACTGACGAGATCACAGGTGTCAAACTCAAGGCCTGCGGGCTAGATCTGGCCCGCCAAATAATTTTATGTGGCCCGCGAAAGCAAATCAAACACATCAACTTCCATGATGCTTGCTAAAATCTGTACCAAAATTTCAATGTAATAAGTAAGAGAAGTATTGTAAGCATTTTCTAGTTATCAAACTAGATATAGTAGTTATCATACTAGTAACTTAACCCTTTTCGTGCCCCATGTAACCTGATAACATGATAAGCTGTCCACTGTAATAACCGTTGTCGATGAAAGGGTTAAACAACGGTTGAGTTAATTGTTATTCTTTTTTGGTTTCATAGTCATAATAGCCCTCAAAGGGAAACAGTAACTACAATGTGGCCCACGACAAAAATAAGTTTGACTAGACTATTTGGGTTTGGACTTCTTCGAGCCCAAACAAAACATCCATTCAAATCAAGAGCCGCGAGAGATGGGTTTTACCCGGCTTGAGGCTCCTCTTCGTCCCCGCGGGGCCTGTTGCTGGTTGGTGCCGCCTCTGTTACGTCTCCTTCCTGCCATCCTTTTAAAGTGTCTAGTGACAACGCTGCACCACTGGCTCCTCAAACAGCCTTTCTATAGCACAGCAGATACAGTATGTGGAAATCGTTATCTACCTCCAAGTATGCATACCACCGACTGGCCTCGCCGGACTCTGACGAGTGATGACGCTACAATGTAGTGAGCAAAGTTCAAGCCGCTACACCGTGGAGTGTTCTTGTCATCCAGTTGACTTCTTCCCATATCTCCACATAGGCAGCGCAAGACTGAAACAAAGAATACAATGTAAGGTAGCAATGTTGTGAGAAACTAATCCAAATGTTTTGCACATTTGGATGCGTGACACAGCAAGAAAGTGTCAATTGCGATCAGTTGCAAAGTGAAAATGTCAGCCTTTGGAGCCAAACACAGTAGGACGATGTGGATGTGATGTTATGTAATTGAATATAGTTGAATAAAGTGGCTATGCAGTAGTTTTGGCACCTCATAAAGGTTGTTGACATTGAAGATGTAGTTCAGAAGAGTTGCTTAAAAGGCTGTAAATGTTTATGATGATTGTTTTGCCTCTTTTGTTAGCATTTCCTTCTTCCCATGGTTGGATGCCAAGTTTTTTTTTTGTATTACACTGTCCTCTGGTGGGTGTAGCAGCAAGACAGACACACAAACATTTTGCAAAGGGAACTGAAACAGATATGCGTAATAGAATGTGGTTTTGTACAAACTTGGTTGTGAGTTGTGTTGTTTGAGAACACATACCTTTTGGAATTGTGGCCAAAAAGATCAACCATCTGGGGAAAGGTGCATTTTTTTTTTTAATTAAAAGTGTGACTTTTTAAATGCACTGCGTGCAGGTGTATTTCACAACATTTGAATATTGTGGATAAAGTGAATTTATTTCAGCAGATCAGTTCAAAAGGTGAGACTCCGGCATCATATAGACTCCATTACGATGTCATGACACTAAAGTACTGATTTCAAGGCACATGGCATGTATAAACCAGCAGTTTGGTCCTCAAATTATTCTTTTTGTGTGAGAATTTTGGCTCGTCTGTTTCACTCGCAATTTTTTCAAAGAATGAATTTGCAGTGAGAGGCATGTCCTTCGACTAACAACCGCGTCAATGGGAGACTTGACTAGTGCATGGATACATACAGTAACAGTAGACATACCAGGAGTAAGTTGAGAAGAATGTTTTACCTGCGAGCACAATGACCTGGAGCAAGGGGTGTGGCCATCCTGGGGAGAGCAGGCGGGCGGGACAAGTATCTCTCACTCCTCTGACTTCCTGAAGTGAACAGTGCCTCAACATGTAGGGATTTAAACACAGGATAGCCTTGTAGATTTCAAATCTTGGACCCGACAGGTCAGGGACGATTTCCCTACAACTAAGGTAAGACTCATAAAGTTGATTCAGTGATTTTACATTTCATTGCAGCCTTGGATTTTAACTAGGAATGCCGAAAAGTGTACACATGTCATGTCATGAATCAAGTCAGAGATTGATTTCTGCACATCTCCCACTTCAAGACACATGATCACTGCCTAAAAAAAAAAAAAATGCCAGGCTCTGGCATGAAAAAAAAAAGTTAGACATCCAGATCCTGTGTGGCAATGTGGGAGGGTCAGTAGATGAGTAACTAAACTGGCCTGCCACTGGGGGAAAAAAATGTTTACAACTTTGAATCTGCTGTCTTATGGGCGAGAATACAAGACGCAAAGAAAAAAAAAGGGTAGTGGTAGAAAACTGCACTTAGAAATGTTGTAATCGCTTAGCTATGATGCTGTGTGGAAGTGAGCCTACAGGATGCATTAATCATGTATTACCATTAATGTTATGTTTGTGATGTAATTTGAAAAATGAAACTGCTGAGTTGACTTCGAATCCTGTGCGCTTTAAACTCCAGAGAAATTTGCATGTGGCTGGCCTCAATCATGTTCCCGTGGCAATTCCTGACATTTCTCTTGGCACTAAGTGCAGATATGTGCAAAGGTAAGGCCCGGTGCTTCAAACGTTGTTGTTGTATGTGTCCACATTCACATCAGCTGTGAAAATGCTTTGAAAAGAGAAGCCGACTGTCATGTGTCGAAATACGTCTTGTACGTGCGCTTTAATTCCAGGAATACCATATGTAGTATTTCATTCTCTATTGTATGTGATGACCAGTTACAATAATATTTACGCTATTTAGGTGTGCCCCGTCGTTCTCTTTTGAGAACCTAAAACAAATAAGGGAGAAGCAATTTATGCTCTGGTTTGGATGATAGAAAACTAACCAGATACAGTCTGAAAGAAGATGACTGTCATGATTTGAAAACACCGTTGCGCCTCGTGTCAGTCTACGTACTGATGTTCCAAATTTGTGGTTACTATCAACATGACATTATGCGCCATACGGTGGTGCATGCGTGCCACTTGGCCACATGATGATTCTCACCTGATGGCTCTGTGGTTGTGTTGACCCGTACAAATTCCCATGATCCCACACCACTCGGGAAACTACACTTTGCTTTGATTAAGAATGACGCAGACCGTGTTGTGCAAACCCTCGGGTTGTTGTTATCTCCATTATTTGCATACCGCCGTGTAATCGATACTACCCCCAAACAAATGCTGATATCGCGAGAATTTTGTCGGATTTCCCACCCCCAAAAAATGCACTGCAATATATTTTAGTCATACTAATCTCGGTGCGTAACCTTTTGACAATTTCCGACTGAATTCAAATGAGAGCGCATTGGCAATTGTCGATGACTTATTTTATTGTTCACACAGAGTAGTAGGGGTGTAACAAAAAACAGGTTTGAAACGGAAAATCGCTTCTCGATTTAAAAGATTCGAGCGCATCGAGTCGCCTTTTATCGGAGAGATTACTGACAAGTCCATTTAAATGTATGTTAAAATGACATAACATTTTGTGTCCACCGACGGGATAATGTCCTCTGTCCTAAATGTATGCCATCTCCCTCACGTTGTCTAATTTGCTCCTCCAGCTAAGGAATGTGCCGACTTCGTAGATTTAGAACTGGCTCACGCGATCATCGGGACCACCCTCAAGATAAGGTTGCTGCTTTTCACCAGGGACACAATACACTGCGGCTCATTTCTGTCTCACGTCAACTTCTCGGCCGACCCTCACTTCAACCTGTCTCGGCCCACGACCTTCGTCATCCACGGGTACCGGCCCACGGGCTCTCCCCCCGTGTGGGCTCACCAAATCACGGAGCTGCTTTTGGCCAGAAAAGACATGAACGTCATATTGGTGGACTGGAACCACGGTGCGGCGAATGTGAATTATTTCAAAGCTGTGGAGAACACGCACCAAGCCGGAGAAAACCTCACTGGCTTTCTTAAACTGATGAAGGTACCATTCGGAATTCCATGTCACACTTGAGGTGTAGTCTGACTTATGAAGGCAAGCGAGACCCTTTTGGTGTCTAATTGATGGTCCTTGCAGGAGCACGGTGCCTCTCTGAGTGACATCCACATGATAGGAGTCAGTCTCGGCGCTCACATATCTGGTTTTGTGGGCGCAAACTTCAACGGCGCAATCGGAAGAATTACAGGTAAAATATTTTAACTCCATCCAATTGAAAATTTCAATATCTGAAAATCTGCGTCATGCATACACTAGCACTGACATGGCCTTTCATAGTACAGAAAGTACAGTTCAGTTGTATTTAACTTTTAGATACAATACATTCACACTTTGGGAACAAAACCTCTGTCTTGTATTTTTTTTCCGATGAACACTTGGGCCTACTATGCTACTGTATTCTCATGACGGTCATTAAATATTTGTTCAGGTAGTATAAAATCTTTGAGAACTGCTGGTATTACAGTATACACTACATTGCATGTCAACAACCACTGCCAGGCATGATCACGGAGAGTTTTTCAATATAGAAATCACCCCTGGTATTTGCACACCAGGGTGAGAATAATACGCGTCATGGTTTTTGACACTTACGACATTTGTACAGCGCTGGATCCCGCGGGGCCCCAGTTCACTGGAACGCCCCCAGAGGACCGTCTGGATCCCACAGACGCCCAGTTTGTAGATGCCCTGCACACAGACATAGATGGTAAAAACAAAAATCATTCATTCGTAGAATAAAGGTTGTACAATTGCTATAACAAGCGTGTGCTTCTCCAGCCTTTGGCTACAGAGGGGCTCTCGGCCACATTGATTTTTACGCCAATGGAGGAACAGATCAGCCCGGTTGCCCCAAAACCATCTTTTCAGGTAACTTCATTTCATTGATTTCTGATCCTGTGAAAATGTTTTGACAACAGTTTACTTTTCACTTTTTTTTTTGTAGGAACCGCTTACTTTAAATGTGACCATCAGAGATCAGTTTACCTCTACTGTGAGTCCTTGAATCTCACTTGCACCAGCAGGGCCTTCCCATGCAGCTCTTTCAAGGACTTCCAGGATGGCAAATGCACAAGCTGTGAGCAGTTCGGTGACGCCGGATGCCCTGTTCTTGGTGCATATTCAATTATCCATTATGTATGAATTAATTTTGCTGTACAAAAAAAAAGTAATGATCATATTTGATTGATAGCCAGACAATTATCATGTTAAGAATACTCTATTTTTGTGGTTGGCGTTCACATGATTTCAAACTGGACTTCATCCTTCTGACAGATTTTTATTTTATTTATTTTTTTACTATTTCAATCCTCTGATGTAGCTTAGCAGAGTAAGCATAAAGTTTGCCAAGATACATATTTGGCTGTGGCATCGATTGCGTGATTCATCTTTTCTATCGTTAGACTGCGTCACCATTATTGTTTGTAGAAGTTCGAAGCTATTCATTGACGTTTTTCCTCCAATGAAGGATACGACATCGACAAGTGGAAGCACGTTTTGTTGAAGCTGGGCCAATCCAAAAATTATTTCGTCACAAATGAAAAGGCTCCATTCTGCAGTAAGTATGATGAGAATTTAATTTAAAAAAAGTAACAGATGGGATCAGTTGGGATGAGTAACATGTTTTTTACATTCCCACATCCAATATAAATGTATGTACAGCAGAAGTCATTGTCTTTGCGGGAGTGTCAATTGATCGCATCTTGTCTGTCAGTGGTGAATTACAAACTGGATGTGGTGGTTTGGAATGAGGAGGATCACTGGGGCTATATCACGGTGAAACTCCATGGCAATGGGACAGACGCTGTGGCAAAGATCGACCAGTAAGTCTTCATTTGAATGCTGAGTTTCCCAATGGTTGTTGAGCCAAAGCACATATTAGAAATTGGAAAAAAATAACAATCACATGCCATCACACCAGAAGAGTGTTTAGCTAACCCAACAACCAAGGGTCTAAACTAAAGCAAATGTGACAATAAGCATATGCTGTCATCTTTTTTTCAGTAGAGCAACCCAGTTCAAGAAGTTCACAGAGACCAAGTTGTTCGCCCAGTTTGACACCGACCTCCAGGCAGTGACCAAGATGTCTCTCATGTTCTCCACGGGGAATGTTTTTAAACCCAAATACAAACTGCGTGTTCTCCGGATCCGTCTCACACATCTGGAACGCTACGACAGGTACAGTCACCTGACATTTATGATACCTCGCCCTTCTGACCTTTGTTTACGTGTGCATCACAGGCCTCTGTGTCGATACGACCTGGTCCTGGAGGAGAGCAAAGAGGTCTCCTTCGCCCCACTTCCCTGCCAAGAGTCCAACTTCTGAGGCGAGATCACATGGCAAACTTGCACCGCTCGGTCTGAAATTGGCCACATACACACAATGTGCCACATCGAATGTACTGTCTGCCGTTTCCGATTATCTGATGCCACTGAAAATTAGGTTAGTTCTCAATCAGATAGATTTTAAAAAAAAACACACACACAAAAAAAAACTTCAGATGATATCTCATAACAGTATTGTTTGTGTTCGAAAAGTGAATGTAACTATCGTCATTGCCTCATCTGCGACTTTGTGACATTTTTAGTGCTCTTCTACAGGATACATTGTATTTTTCACTGACCAGATGAATATATATATTTTATTTATTTTTGTGGATGGATTATTAAAAAAAAATGTATAGATTGCATTTTCCAATATTCTGCCTTTAATGGATTCCAACCAACAAGCGAGTCATTTCACAGCATTTTTTTTTTGCACACATTTGGAAAGTACAACACTATGCTCTAAGTACGGTGTAATGTAGTCTTAAAAAACAAACAAAAAAAAAAACCCACACACAATCACTCATTTGTGCATATTTACACCTTCTCCTTCTTGTCCTTCCTCTCTTTCACTGTACACATTAAGACATTACACATGGAAAACAAAGAAAGTCAACTAAAACACAAAACAAGAGAAATTGAATTAAAACACTACATGGTGTTCTTCTATAAATGAAGTGACACTGGCTCATTTACTCTTGGGAACTATGACTAATAATAATAATAATAATAATAATACAATATTGGTTTTTTTTTTACTTCATCTACCAAAAACAGTTTCAGAAATACATGTGCGTTCATTGACCAGACCATGAGGTAAATCTGCACAATCCAATACAAAAGTTGTGTGAACAAAATAATGCCCCTGTAAAAGGAAATTGATTTGCATTATCGTGAAGGTATTAATGTAACAATCTATTTTTTTAGTTTGCACTGTAGGTGTAGAACTGCACTATATCATGCTAGAAGCAGTTCTTAGTATTTTACTTATGTCCATACGTCAGCAACAGTTCTCCGTATGGTGCAGCTTAGTTCCCACACCATATTTGGCTACAATAATTTTAGTTAGTAATTGGTGTCATTTTGACATGTGCTTCTTCATACGTTGTAGCTCCATCTAATAAAAAAAATAATAAAAATAAGAAAAAAATAAGAAAAATATGAAACCATGGATGCCATCGCATGGACAACCAATACACGTGAACGGATGCTTTTGTTTCTTACCTGTAAGGTCAGACGAATTCTCTTCTCCTCATCCAGCTCATTCATGAGCAGTTTAATTTCCTTGCTGGGAGACAAGATAATGATCTTGTAATGCAAGAGTGGAGGAAAATTATGTCATCATGGCTGAGGAGGAGGGTACATTAAAGACCCTACTTGTGTTGACTCTTCATCTGTTCAAACTGCTCCCTCAGTTCTCTCAGCTCGGACTGCAGTCGCTCCAGTGTGGGTGACGAGTGATCTGTTGGACCTCTGAAGGGTCGAGGCGCGGGGTCGAGGCTCGGTGGGGGTTGCCTGGCTTGCAGAACAGCGGAGAGAGCTTTGGGAAGCAGTGGGGAGAGCGATGGAGATGATTGTGTGTGAACATGTCTGGGTTCATCTGCCTGTGAAGAATAGACAGCAAAAAGTTTTGGGTTTTTTTTTTCTAATCTTGGGTAAAGATTATATAGTAAGGGAAGCTCCATTCTGATTGGTTTCATGGGCGTTTTCTTGCAGCATTGAAGAACTTGGATTCTTTTTTCTCTCCATCAACAGTTAACACCTGAATGCAGTGCAAGATTTTGAAGAAAAAAAAAACCAACACTTGATCTATACTGTATTCAAGGAAAACATAAAATCCTGTCCATACATTTATTCCACAAGCAAGCGAACAGGAAAGATATTTAGTTATATTTTGTAAGATATTACAGGTAGTTATTCGCTGTTCGTATGTTGGGTTAAATATATACCAAAGGCCAAAATACACGTACATGCATTCTTAAGGCATGGCTTCATATCTTATCCTATGCACCCGGGCCATGGCCACAACATCAGTGACAGTTACGTTACTTCTCATGACATGAAAAGCATCACAAATCTGTAAACAAGATCATTTTAATTCTTACCGTGGCTGTAGCTCACTGCATCATACACAAACCCAATTTTAATTAAAAGTTGGCTAAAAGATATTTGAAACAATGTTAGCGCATAACTGTGCATCGGAAACATACTTTTAGTATCCACATACAGTACATTTCTAAATTACAAGTGCAATTAAAAAAAAAAAACAACAGGGGAATGATTAATATGTCTTTTTAAAAGGCAATTTTATGATATAGTACTGCACATTAAACTAACCCAGAGCGACACAGAGGAATGAAAGTGTGGGGAGAAACAGCAATTCAATCACATAAACAAATCATATTGACACATTGGAGCAGCGCTAAGTCGAAACGGGGAGGCCACTGTAAAGGAGACCTGGTATGTTGTCATTTTCATGTTCACATCACTCCGGTATGAGCAATAAAGACACGATACCTCTATTAGCGTTCAAAACAAATGACCGATACTAATACTGATGACCAGATTAGTGTTAGTTACTTCACAGACCGAGACGGAATACAGTACACACGCTTACCGTGTTTAGCAATCCTCCCCCAGTGAGATACAGCAGCATCTGTGGTAATTCAACACCGGCCATTGTAGCGTGCTCAGTGTTTTGAAGAGGGGTGCAGCAGTGACGGACGGCTATTTTTAGCACAGGGGCGCCACCCCAGCTCACTTGAATATCACTAGGCCACACAGTCAAGTGTGGCCGAGTGAAGGACGAGTGCTTTTAGGAAGGGCGAGTCAGTCAGCACAGGGTTAGGCAATTTTTGATTTTGTGCTTGGCCAGATTTTACTTCAAAATCTCAAAAGAAACTAGCCACTAGGCCATCTTTGGTTCTCAAGAAATGAGTACACGCATGAAATTGAGCAGTGGTTTATTTCTTCTGAATTAGTTATAATACAGAATATAGGACGCCAGAGAAAAATATCGATTCTGAAAGGAAACTAACAGATTCATTTATGTTAAAACAGTATATCTACAAGAGGGAGCCATGTGTTTTTTTGAAGATGTAGTTTCCTCAGAAATGCACTCAATTTCTCAAAACAGGACATCGGGTTATATAATACAAAAAAATAAAAATTAACAAGATAGTCCTAAACATCTGTCAGCTGACTTTTTTTAAATTATAACAGTTGTGAAATTACTTCAAATCTTACAAAGGAAAAAAAAATACTCATCCTACAAGGCTTTGTTAAATAAGAGGAGTGCATTGCCGATGCAACTTGGTGATTTATTTTTTCCAGTGTCTCCAGTATAAGCACCTGCACCCAAATAAAAAAAGGTGTTTTATTCAGATCATTTTCAAGATGATTACCTCAAACCGACTGCTTGTAATCATTTAGGTACCTGGGATGGTCACCAGCGTTGTTGTTGGGGTGCTCTGTTGTACGGAGGGCGCTGTCGCATCACTCTCATGTTGCGGTACTTTGACATGATACTGTAACTTTTTTGGAACACTGGCTTCTGGTTTGGGAAGGGGCGTGGCACCAAGTTCTCCTTGTCAAAAGAACATTAATACCGATTAGCGGTTAAATAAATTCCATGGGAGGGACTAGATCTCATCAATAAATTCTGCATACCATGAGGGGCCGTCGAAAATTCCCAGACGGCTCAGGGCCAGGTCTCCTCGGGCCGGGAAACTTTGGTCTCTATCAAAAGTCACAATGAAGACAATCAATACATGTCATCTTTTCACAAGTATAAGACAACACCATGGAGATGAAACCTGTGAAAGAACAGCACAGGTTCTGAACATTTCATTTCGTGGAATGGCTTCACTCACTTGCATGGGTCCAGGTCTTTTGAAGGGCCGGTCGGCCATTAAATTAAGTGGCCTGGAGGAAACAAAACAACACAACCTCAGTACCGCTTGTACTTTGTCAGAATGTTGTCAAGCAAGTACCTGAACGTTCTTCTCTCCAGATATCCTCGTTTTCTGTCGAGCGAATGGGACCTTGAGTCAGCTTTTGATGATGAGCTATTCAGAGACGCGTCTGAACCAGGGTATAAAAAGAAATGACAAAATGAGCTTTTGACGGACAAGAAGCGTGTACCGCATTTGGAAAACAATGCCAGTTACCAGTTTTTGACTTTGGGCTACGTTCTTTCGCGGGAGAGTCTTCCTTGGACGTGCTCGGGCCGGCTGCCCAGTGAGACACGACGACAAGGTCTCGTTTCTCGATGGGGGAAGATCTGAAGAGAGATAAACAGTCAGGTAAACTAACGCACATAAAAAGGATGACCTATCAAAATCGTGTAAAAAAACGATAATGAACAGCACAGCTTTGTAAGGACGGAAATGAGCATGTAAAGCCAGATGTCACAGGGTGGTACTTACAAAACCATGGCATGTCCATGCTTCTTTACTCCTATATTTGCACTCGCAATCAACCTGAGCACTCTTCAGTTACCCGGGGATCGTTAAAGCGGCCGGTCGGGTGGGTATCGTAAAAAATTGCATCAACAACTCTTCAATCCGCGTTTTATTTGGCCACGCCGCTCCTCAAAGATGTTTACGCCCCGGGGCTGATGCCGCATGGTCTATTTTACCAGCTGAATGGAAACAGTGAGTCGTCATGACGGATTCTCTTAAGTTTAGAGAGAGGGATCCAAACTCCGGCTGCGCTGGTGGTTTAAAGAAAGCATCTGTCGGCCTTTTAAGACACCTCAGCTCATCTTAGAAATGGGACTTGGGTGGAGGGTGAGCGGGCTCCTCTTCCTTTAGGGGCATTGCACGGGCAACGGTTGAGATCATCTTTTCGGTTGACCTTCTTGGGCTTGTACATGCAAACCAGCACTGACATACAAAAGGGCAAGTTGGGGTGCATTAGAGGTCGTATACAGTGCACCATATCAGGCAGGACTGACCGAGGATTCGTAGACCGTGGAACCACTTTGTCGCCCAAATGCATTCATATTGTAGCAGGTAGCAATGGCAGCAACTAGTTGGAAAAGGGGCACATCTCAAATCTTCAGCGACGCAGCTTTTGCTTTGCCGATGCTGGTTAGGTCTTTGCGGTCTTGCTGTCAATTGACTTTAAGTCTCATCTTGGCGACAGTGCTCCCTCTGTGCTGTATTCTCGGCACTCGCGCAAGTGAATCGCCGGCATCACTGCGGCATGATTGGGGATTTATGGTTTCAGCAATGGTCTTTTCTGTTGCTAAATCTTTGTATTGCCACCTTATCTGCACAGAAAATTTGGGGCTCCAGCATGGATTTGATGTGCACATCGTTCTTCCAAGTGGTCAAGAGAGAGGCAGACATCTGCAGTGCGGCAAAGTGTTTGTGTCTTCCATCGCTTCTTCAGATAATTCGTTCGGCACATAAAATGTGATTTTCCTCTTCGTTTCTGTGTGTAGCCAAGTGTGATTGCAAGTTGGCCATGAGTAAATTTTTCTAGGCATCATAAAGGAAAAATTCTTTTGCTGCAATGAGTGATGAGTAAAGAATCCAGCAGCGTGTAAATTTCCTTCCTTTCATGAACAACTCCTCTTCGCTGGAAACAATTTCCCACTGAGCGCCAATGCTCATACTCGCATGAATTTGAGGACATTTCTTAAGCATGCCTTGTTTTCATGGTTGCTCATCAAAACAAGACCGAGGTCTCTCTTTCAACAGTCTGCGTGATTCAAGAGGCCAGGCGTTTTTAAAACATGAGGGGAAACTCCTTTCATGCTCGAGACAACCGACAGATCAGGGCGGGGCTTCGGGAGCAGTGCCATACATTTTGTGCCAGACTTCAACGGACGTTCGCTTTCACGGTACAGGAGAATAAACGCCATCTCTTTTTGGAATATGCAGATCGGAGATGGGGAGGGGGAAGAAGGGGGGAATCTGAGTCGCAGCATTTTGTGCATCGTGTCTTCTTCATTTTTCGCATGTGGTCTCACGATCAACATATTCTTTCTTGACCTCCCAATTCTCATCATCAAGCCCCTGCGAAGAGTGCAAGAAGGAAAATACCGTACCTGTGAGTATTCAAGGAGCGACGAGACTCCACCTGTTCTTTTCTGGTATTAGTCTCTCGCAGGGACCTGCTGGCTTTCTCTTCATCTCTGTCGGGGGACTGTTGAGCTCTTGTGTCCCTTGGTTGCAGCCTTTTCAGAGGAACCGGATTACCCTGGAAGCGTTTCTTCCTCATAGCAAGAATAGAGCTGGGTGGTCCCCGAAGGGGAATGTCACCCGGATGTGGTCTGGGTCTAAAAGGCGGAGGAATTCTTAGTCTCATGGGAGACTCAAATCTCATTTGTCTGCCTTTAAATATGAAACTTTTATCCCTAAGTGATAAAGGTCTACCACCAAATGGTCTGGGAATACTGAGGAGTGGGATTCTCTCTCTTCTGGGGTATTTTGGGCCACTGTGATCCTGTGACGGGCTTGAAGAGGACATGCTGACATCTGATAGTCTCCTCTTGCGGGGACCCGTCAGTTGCCTGTCCTGGGGGCTCCTGTGGAAGGACGATGAGGGCGGCGGGCCTCCTTTCCAAGGTGGGGGTCTGAAAAGGGGCAGGCGAGGAACATCTTTTGCACTCTCCATGCTGTGGGGTCTGCCACCCTGCCTCTCCATGGGACCACGCTGCCTTCTGGAGTCTTGCTCAGATGACCACCTGCATATCCATCAGACAGAAGAAATCGTTACAATAACAGATCCTCCTGCCAATTCAAGTGGGTGGCGGAGCTTTTTATATAAAGCAGCCCCGTTCCTCAAGGCCACGATAAAATGAAACTGGAGGAAGAGGCAGCTCATCATTTTCAATGACAAAATCTAGACCGATTACAGAAATCCTTCTCAAAGGCCGGTGAAAGCACTTTTATATCAGATCTCATTAACACCCGTCAATTATTTAAAGGGGAGCTGGGCATCGGGCATTACGAGCCATGTAACTGAGGTCGGCATCAGGGTCAGCCTTCTTTTTAATCATTTTAACCAGCTGGAGGAGCTGCTTCCATCCTGTACCTCTCTGGAAACGAGCCTCTCCCATGCATCTCCCTCGGGCTCCGATGAGGCCCCGAAGGCCCGTGTTGGCCATTGTGTGGATGAGAGAAGGCTCCGGTGTCGTTCCATCGCTTCTTGCTGTGGCCAGAGTCCACGAAGGGCCTCTCCCTTGGACTCACATCCCCACGAGGGCCTCGATACCTATGCTCCTGGTGGGGGAAACCAGGCTCTCTTTTGTGGTCCCTGAAAGAACCCTGATAGGCAGGTGCAGGGCCGCCGGGCCTCTTGTCGCCGGGATGGCCTCGAAAACGTCTCGGGGAGGGTGACCTGTGAGCTGAGGAGTGGCCATGGGGAGGAGGCCCCCTATGACCCGGGGACCCTCGTGCAGGACTGCGGGATGATGACTGATGCTGGGTATGCGGGGAGCGGTTTGGTCTGGATGAAGGCGGTCTCCTGTGATGGCTGTGATGCGGTTCCATTTTAGGAGAATATGATTGATAAGAATCCGAATTTTGTGCCCTCCAGTTATTAAAACGTGGCTCTCGCTGGTCTTCCATCAGTGGGACTCTTCTGTTCGGTGGGGGTCGACCTCGACCCCTTGACTCTCTCCAGTTTTCATGGGGCTTTCCTGGGTGGCCATGGGGGTCTCTTCTTGTTTTTGAGTTGGGGGAATAATTACCTTCTCTGGCCCCACTGCCATGACCATCTCCATAAGCTCTGCTGTACAGAAACAACGGGGAAGGATAAACCATTTAAATTATGCATCGCTAACTAATAACACAACACTTGGTGTCTGGATGCAATTCAAGATCAAGTATGTGATACCTTGGCTTCATGCGTGGAGATTCAAAATGTGGTCAGACAATCTTCTGTGGAGTACCTACACTCTATAGAGGGACAAAAAAAGTCAAATGTCAAGGTTTTGCTGATCCAGTATTGTACAACCAAACTAAGCCCTCTAAGTAAAAATTAAAGAACTTGATTCGTCTTGGAAGTGATATAATGACAATGGTGTAATCGATATCTTGGATGTTAGCGATTGGAACAACTCGACAAGCTTCACAGAGTAGAACGGTAGAATTGATGGTCAAAAACAATCCACAGTACACACACACACACACACACACACACAAAAATGTATTATTTTTTTCCTTCTAGCGCCGTTTGTTAAGATTGCTTTTATATTACTGTATCATACAACGAGCTCATTCACCTGGTATGTACTATGCTGGCTAATTTCAGTCCAGGGCCTGCAACCGTTATACCTCAAACCACAGTTCGCGCTTCACAAAACAGTAGTTTCAACGGGAAATACATAAATGTCAAAACAATGTTGAATGTCGTTTATGTGGTTTTAGCTCACAAACACAAAAAGGCTCATGACGGTCGTTATCTTACCTTGATGCTAAGCTAATCAAAGCAAAACCACGCGCAGTTACCACAAAATGGCATCCACGTACGGCTGGAATATCGACACTTGGGACAACTGCACAGAAATTTTACTTTCGTCCTAATAACATATGATCGCGTAAGAATATCATAAGTGATTTTGGACATCTTACCAAAGCGCAATCGTCGAACACTTAGCTTCACGGAATGCTTGCAATTTAGCTATTCCCTTTCGTCGTCAGCCATGGAAGAGGCTCGTCCCTATAGCCATGACGCAGACGCGGAGGACGTTTACTTGCTGGTCACGTGACTTTCTCTGAGCCAATGGCGTTCGCTGAAGTACGAAAATCCTTTCGGATCAAGACGTGATTGGTTTGTACCAAAAGGGACGCAACTATGGAACTGAGTACTGTGGGAACGTGACTGATTTTAGAACCGCAGGATTCTCAAGGCGCTACTTTATTTTTGCCACGTTCCAAAATAATTTGAAGAAAAATTCAGAGGAAAGTATGCATGACCCATTAACTTATACATTTAGTGTTCTGAATACACGGCTTTGTACATCGATGGTACTCGATCAATCTTGAAAGCACTAATCAAGCAAATCATGTGAGACTAATCTATTCATTTTAGGGCCCTATCCCACTGAGCGGCGAACAATTGCGAGTGCTTGCAAAGGCAGCGAATGTTGTTGCGTTCTCGTCAGGGTTCGTTCAGGATTGCAAACGTTTTCCAGTTCCAAGAATCCAATTTACAGTATATGCCAATGGGGAATTGTGACTAATCATGTATGAACAATAAAAAACAGTGTTGATGACTTTATATTTTATTGGGTTGATCATTTTTGGCCATGATAACCATGCACAACTCAACAGTCACAAAAGTCACTCCTTTTGAAATATGAGCCGATATGGTTCTATTTCCGCTAAAATGTGTCTGCAAATTAAATGTTTTCTTTAAATTCAGTTCTGAAAATAAATCAAGCCAATTCCAAACCACTCTATGCAGCAGATTAAATGTCTGATCTATCAACAAGGATTCTAAAGCCCCTTGCAGGGGAGAGTGGAAAGTTGACACATATTGGGCTACATGTGCTAAGCAATGTGACTTGGACAAGATTTTGGGCATACAATGTTCAGGTGTTAAAGGTCGCACACTGAACCTCATTGCACAGAGGGAAAAAAATAGATGTCAGCACAGTGGTAGCACAGAATTGCGATATCAAAGCTCTTCCTTCAGGTCACTCCAAAATGAATCTACATTTAGACACAAAAACCTAAACGTGGTTGTGCAAGCATTTTCAAGGCCCTCAACAGTTGACAAATTTTCGTATTTCTTAAAGTAAATCTCTGAAAACATTAGAGGAAAGGTTGAAAGTGCTCATTGAGCCAAATTCACCTTTAAAATAAGATCAAATCACTTTCACTGCTGCGCCAATCCAAGTTCAAATTTCCTTCCAGTTTGCAACAAACATCTTTTTTTTTTCAGCGTCATCTTCATCGATCACTTACAGTGCTGACGTCTCAATAAGAAAATCACATCAAATTGTCTTAAGACTATGGCTTTGGGTGAAACACAGGATACACCCTGGACTGCTTGCCAATCAATCACAGGCCCACCCTTACTCCGTTATCCACATCTGCTATATGTGATTAGTATATTGCAATATTGCTAGGGGTAATTTTAGTAGCTGTCAGTTTCTATGGCTCTTGTCCATAAATGTATTGGTACAGATGTCTATTTTCTAAATGCCAGCTCTAGTATGTTTAAAGGAGAAAACGTTGGTTGCATTAGTGGATATTAAGTCGATTCGAGGAGGGTGGTGACATCCCGATGAGCTTCGAGTCCGACATGGGGCTGACGACCCCCTGGATCAGATTTTTGTTGCAGTCGCCGACGTTGCCTTCAGAGGTCCTTTTGGAGCATGTGATGCTACCTGTCAGGTCCATCAAGTCCTGAAGGGCCCGGGTGTTACTTAAGCTGCATTGCTGGATTTCATTAACTGGCGAGAATTCTGGGATGGAAATCAATTCCTCCTTTGAAGCTGGGCTGGAACATAAGCACAAAATTATCAGGTTTGATTCTCAGGGTATCGGATTGAGTGCAACTGGACTGTTTGTGGTTGTCTTTGAAGATGTGCTGCCTCTCGCCCGAGCAGACTTTTTCTGCGAGCCAACAATAATTGTTTTTCTGAAATCATTTTGCTTAATCTCAATCAATTCAATGCCTGAGAATATCATTGATTTTATTTGAGCTCATTTGAAGACCAGCGTTGCTCACCTGATGTCCATGGACTGCACCTCATCAGAAGACCGCCTCACCTCCGGTGGCTCCAGATGAATGGCGGATGGTTGTCGAGGTCCTTGTCTTTCGGGTCCCCCCACCGAGGACGCCGCTTTCAGTTTGTCTACCTCAGCTGTCACATGACCTCTACTAGAGATACTTTCTGCCCTCGTGACTGCTCCATGCTTCCCATTTTGCTTAACCATGCTACCTGCCTCACTGGTTGGTTCTTTTGTGAATGGGTCCATGTCTTTAAATTTGATTCTCGACTGCTTGTTTGCAATCATTTGCACTTCCCTCTCCTGTAGTCGGGGATCGCTCACCTGATGTCCATGGACTGCACCTCATCAGAAGACCGCCTCACCTCCGGTGGCTCCAGATGAATGGCGGATGGTTGTCGAGGTCCTTGTCTTTCGGGTCCCCCCGCCGAGGACGCCGCTTTCAGTTTGTCTACCTCAGCTGTCACATGACCTCTACTAGAGATACTTTCTGCCCTCGTGACTGCTCCATGCTTCCCATTTTGCTTAACCATGCTACCTGCCTCACTGGTTGGTTCTTTTGTGAATGGGTCCATGTCTTTAAATTTGATTCTCAGCTGCTTGTTTGGAATCATTTGCACTTCCCTCTCCTTTAGTCGGGGATCATCCGCACCCTCCTTGTTCAGTTCATCTGCAACTATCATTTTTCTGATGTCCATTCTCGAGTCAGGAACACTGTGAGCTGGCATCGCTTCAGCGTTGTTTTCAACATGCTTCCGACAGTCCATCTGTGCTGTAGCTTCTTTCTTCCCTTCCCCGTCGCTTGTGACCCGCTCTTTACACCGTTTAAAGTCTTCCTGAGCTTTACTTTCGACAGTCTTTAACTCTCCTGTGGAGAATAACAAACATCACTGTGGGCTTCACTTCATTCGAACTGCCCGGCATTCATCAACTGCATTGGATTTGAGTCAAATCCCGCTACTGGTGATAAGGGATGACGCATACCCGCTAAATTTTGTATCACCCACCAGAGGTCTTCTCTCTATCCTTCTGCCGGGTGTATTGTTTGCTTCAACAAATAAACACTTCTATCCAAAGAGATGTCTCATTGTCTCCAGCTATACCGGTTCTTCTGTCCACGGCCTCAGGAGTTATCCCCTTTTGATATCAGGCACAGGACAGTCTACACCCAGGACTGCTGGTCAGTCAATCACAGGGCAAGTGCAACACAGAGAGGGCCAACGATGCACGTTGAAACTGAGCAGGAATTGAAGTAAGGCGAATGAACAATAACCTCATCAAGTTGTTAGTTTTGGGTCAGGTCACGTGCGAATGGCTCAGCGCGTGTGCTTGATTGTCGCATGGTCTACGTCCAACTTTAAACACCCTTCCTATTGTAATATTGAAATAATTCTGTCCATCAGATGGGCATCGGTGTGACTAGCAGCCGCAACCCCCATCTGAAAATATTTGTATTAGTTCAAATAATCCACTGGTATTTGAGGAAATGCAGCAAAACTGCATGATTTAGTCTTTCAGTTGACTGTCGAAACAAACCTCTTATTCTTCAACCTACCAGTGTGAACAATACATAACAGTTGAAGTAATGTGTCTGTAAAAAGCTGGAGCAGAAGTAGAAAGATAATGTCAAGGGCACAATCTTTTATAGCCAGCTCCCATGGCGCCTCACTCCATTAAATGACATAATCCACAATAGAGCCAAATAGCTCCTCATTGCAACGGGATTTAAAAGTGTGGGAGCTAACATTAGAACAATGACATAGCTCATTATGTAGGCGAGATTCAACTGCAGCCAATCTCAGCTAAAGCACGCATTTGACAGATTATATACATACAGTAGGAAAATTAGAAATAATGGACAGAATGGCGCTCACTACTGTGCAAAAGCCATACGCCCAAATTGGATCAGCACCAAATTCTTTACTCACCTGATGCATTTGGCTCAATTTTGCCAAGATTTATCATGCATCATTCACTTATAAATGAAAATGAAAAAAATAATATTGTAGTTTTTAATACCTTTTTTTTTCTGGGACCATGCACCACCACGACCAGTTTTCTGAAAATCACTCAAGCAGGCAGTTTTTGCATGTTCCCGCTAACAAGCAGAAAACAAAACCTCCTTTGAAAAAGTCAATTGTTTTTTTTAAAAATGTGCCAACTCGTAGCAATAGATAGCTGCCATGCACACGGCTGCGAGGCATACAAAAAGGGCTGACGTAAGCAGAAGAAGCAGACCAAAGTATTTGCATGTTACCTAAATCAATACTAACCTGGTGGTGACCTGGTCTCCACCTGTTCGTCCTTCGGATTCAATGACAAATAGGACGCAAAACCAAAGTACCATCATCAAATTTAATAAATACACAATCAACAGAAAATCAAATAAAGTAAAAAAAAAAAAAAAACAGAAGATAAAATGACATCGTGACATGAGCAGGTGTTTGAAGGCAGCAGGGCGACTGTATGAGAGGAAGTCTCTTATGGTACCTTCACATCAGCTTCCCCTTTCCTCGTTCTCTTCATGATCTCCTCAATTCTCTGCAAAAAGGCGTCAACGTGTAAGTATGTGTTTCGCGTGGAGCGCCGTGAACAAAAAACATTGTCCTGTTTTGCGATGACCTTCTTTCTCAGCTGCCTCTCCTCCTCTTCCTGTTGCGACTGCTGTTCACGGTCTTGACGTTGACGCTCAGCTTCATCATGTGCTTGAACTTTCGCCTTTTCTCTCTTTTGAAGATATTGAGCAAAAGATTTCAGGAGAGAGCAAACATTTTTCAAGACATCTGTGAAAACATTTTGGTGAATAAGGTCCATTTGAGCAATAGCCATCCAGGATGATTTACAATAATCTCTTACCTCTGTGCCCGTTTGCTCCTTCTCCTGCACATCCTGTTGCTGTTTGTCTTCTTGTTGTGTTGCCTTGTTGGAACTTGTGCCATTTTCCCCAGGCTCCTTGGCCTTAGGCTGCTGTTGCTCTTGCGCATGTTGCTCTTGCACATGTTGTCTGCTCTGCTGTTCCCGGAGCCTGACAGCAGGGCACATGATACAAATTCAATCCACTCTGCCATTAATTGAACTTTTTTTTTTTTACCTTTCTTCATCCGCTTGCTCTCGTTTTTTGTCCTCCAGTTCTTTCTGTGCCCGAGCCTGGCGTCTACGCTCTGCTAGCACCTTGCTAGCCTCCTCCGCATTGGTTATCCCGGTTGCTGCCTTCCCTGTGGTCGTGCATGGCGATGATTCTGTTGAGTAGATGCAAGAAGACTTAAAAAAAAATAAATAAATCATACGTGAGTTCAAAAGTTTAATCACCATCTACCTCTTTTTTTCTCTCTATTTTGAGTGCTATGATCTGATTTCTTCTCGGAAGGGTCCTCTTTTTTCTCAGGTGCGTCACCTTTGACGGCTTCAAATGATCCGGCTTTGCATACGTCAGCTGCACTGCGGGTATGGCCGGGATTTTTTCCCACCACCTCACCCTGTTGTGCTTTACTCGTGGAAGGCCGAGGTCCAGTGGGAGAGTGGTGGGACTCGTGGACACTGATGGGAGACTGCATGTGTGTCTTAGAAGCCAATCTGTGGGTATACATTTGACAAAAAATACAGAAAAATATTTTCTCGAAAACATTTGGAATTTCATATCTCAGCAAAATGATCTCACTTGGAGGTAGTCGGAGGTGTCATCTGTCTGATGACATTCGCCGGCGATTCCGATCTTCTCTTTAAATACGAACCACCCGGGGAGGCAGTTCTCCTCTCCCTTCGCAGACGCTCTTTCTGAAAGGAACAGAGAGCTTTAACTTGTTTGTTCTCACAGAGGTGACAAGTGGAGGTGCCGAATGTCAGCATGTGCCCTGCCTAACCTTGGGGGTGTTGGGAGTGGACCGAGAGCCTTCCACTAGTCCGTTTCTGTGGGCATCAGCGGGGCTCCGCGAGTTGCACAAAGGTGACCTGCGAGGGCTGCAAGGCGCTGCATGACCACAAAAGGGGAAGCTCATGAAATCAAATGGCAGCAGATCGATATCAGTTCAGGAGTATCAGGGAGTGGAGGCTTGTCTGCAAAGTGTCACATTTATAGCCACTTGCAGAAGCAAAACCATCAACATTCTCATTTATAAAGCAGCCATTTGAAATTTCACTCATTTTGCCAAATCGAGTCTAGCAGATGCATCCGGAGTGGTATGTGCCAAATCCTTATTTTACAAATGAGTGCCGAATGCAGGGTAATGCAAAAAACACATTCTACAGTATATAACTGACACGCTCTAACACTGAAACCCAAACTTCAACATCATCCTGAGCACGCGCAAAACAAAAAACTGTTTGCTCGCCGCTCCACATGACCTCCGATTCCATCTGTCGCCATCTGTGAAGTGTAATCTCTAAAAAGTGTGGCCATGTCTATTTTGGTGTGTGCATTTATGTTCTGGGTCATGTGCGATTAATCTTGAAAGAAAAAAAAAAACATCCTTTGATGATCAAAGGTAATTAAGACCATTTTACAAAACCATAGCATACAAAGTACTTCTGAAATCCCTCCAAAAACGAGTCATTCATCCTTTAAAATGAGTTTCATTCATAACCAGACACACAAAAAACATGCAAGCATAACTGTGGTTTACCTTTGTGCATGGGGCATTGAAATCCCACCCAAAGGCAAACAAATGCAGGGATAAAATTGTAACAGTTGCATGGGGGAATATACATTTGGGAGTGGAGGTGGCTGGGGAGAGCCAAACATTACCAGATTCGCTGACAGCAGGAATAGGGGAGGCAAGGCCATGGGAAAGGGTGGAGGCAGCAGAGAAAGAGAGCGAGGCATTCTCAGTGTCACCTAAAGTCAGCGGGTGGAGCAGAGCAGAGCATTATGAACATTTCGATTGAGGCCGCTCTAGCCTTCGAGACCAAGATGGGAGTTGAGATACCCGCACTTCGGTCACTTTGGTACATAGAACTTTTTTTTTTTTTTTTTTCATTTGAAGCTGCGTTGGGTGGCGCGGTTTTGGAGGAAACATTTGAGTAAGCTGGGGCTACACAAATGCCAGTGCGGATATTTCACACCATCCTGTCTTGAAGGGTATCAAGGAACACTCAATTCTACACGGGCATTTTTATTTTGAAAAGCTGGGCTGTAAGCAGTCATCAGACCAAAACAAAAGTGCTCACTAAAAATCGTGAACTCTTAAGAGTCACCAAGCATATGTGGCATAAACATTTTGAATACATTTAATAAAGCATCCTTCGTTGTTTGCTGTTTCAAATGACATATTTTCTTCTGTTAATGTTACTGCCACAACCTGCGAAGGCTTATACGTTCTCACCTGCTACAACATGGAAGCCTCTGCTCCAGCGTTTGTGTCTGTTCTCCAGGTTTAGGCTGCGCTCCAGAGAGCGTCTCATCAGGGCCTCCAGCCGCTCCTAAATGCATCATAGTGGAGCTTTTTTGTTAAGCGACCACTTTTTCCATCTTAAGATTCCAAGTGGCAAATCATTTTTTGGATCATTTTGACCCCTAGCATTTGAAAATAAATATTACAGGTGATTTTTTTTTTTCTTAGGATGCTCTGTATTCAGCTGACCCTCTCCTCCTCCAGCTGCAGTCTTCGCTTCCCCTCCCCCGCAGCCCGGCGCAGCTCCTCCTTGTGCTTCTGCTCCTCCAGCCGCTTCCAGCGCTCCTCCACCGTGCGCTCGTACTGCAGCTGAGATCGTCGCTCCTTCTCCCGGATCAGCTGCTCCCGTGCCGCTGAAAGAGGTGAAGCCCAATGTGTCGTGTCAAAAAATAACGATAAAGAGTGAAAGGGCGACCTTCCATTCCAACATCGTAGTCTTTCATTAATTTCACAGTTATTTCAATTCAGTATTAACCCAGAATTTCTGAGGGAATCAAGATGCAGCGCTATCTGCGGAGACCCGTTTCTGTGGGCTACACGAGATGCGGAAGTCTGACATAGCTCATCATGTCAGCGAGCCAGGGCGCTCAGACTAAATGTCCTACTGGCAAAGCAATTAGGCAGTGAGGGGCAAATGTCAGAATAGGAATCCGAAAGCCATTTCAGAGAGACTGAAAAATACAGAAACGATTAGATGATGTGACCTGTGCTTGAAAACAGAAAGCTTTCTTACCAAGGCTTCTGTCCCTCTCCTCCCGTCTCTCTTTGGCTAAACGCATCCTGTCATCTGTCTTCAAAAATCCCTCCACAACTGAACGGTAGAAATATCAGCGGGGAATCAATAGAGGTTAATTGCAGATGAAATAAGAATGTGACACTATAAGAGTGACACTTACTTGGTTTGCTGGCAGGGTTGGTGCTGATGGTCGCAACCAAGTGTGAAGGCGACGCAATTCCATTCAACAGGGGCTTCTTGTCTGTGTTTGTCGCAGCTATAATCGCCAAGACGGAACGAGAGATGGGACATTTGGTTTTGTCTCAACAGCTGCAGTGTTGATGTCGATTACTCACTTGTTTTTTTAGTTCTGGCCGGGGAGCCGTGACTGTTTGTTCCATTTCTCTTGTCGGGAAGTAGCGGGACAGTTGGAGGCGCCATCTTTTCGACTGTGGCGCAGAAACCAAATAATATGTTGACGCACACTCACACAAGACACGAATCCACATTTATTTTTTCGCGACACAATTTACATTGACACAATCCCATCTTTTCGACTGTGGCGCAGAAACCAAATAATAATGTTGACGCAAACTCACATAAGACATGAATCCACATTTATGTTTTTGCGATACAATTTACATTGACACAGTGATTACTGTGGTTGTACTTTGCAGTGGTGTCAAACTACACTGCTGCATACTGAGGTTCGAATATTGCGGAGCATGTAAAGATAAATTGCTATGGTGCAAAACTGTTTCAAACCACTGCAAAACACAATAATAAACATCTGGTTAATATTATCATCATAATACTAGTAAAAAGAGGGCTTCAGTTTCAGCCAATTTGTCTCCAATGGGTAGTGAACCTCAGTGTGATAGGGGCATGGCGCTGTTCCCTGCACTGAAGGAGTCATTGACATGATTACAGGAAATGTGATTACTGACCTGCTTCTGTTTCTCTTGTTTCAGGGTGTGGAGGGCCTAACAATGACTTCAACTTTTACCATCATCATCAGCATCTTCATCACTGGCAGGGGGAGGATGCTCGTAAAAATAATAGTCTAATCTGTAGGGGGCCATGTCAATGCGCTCAACACCCTTCAAAGCTCTTCGACGACAGAGTGACGTCATTACAATAACAACGTAATCTACGTTTTGCCTTTAAATCTCCAACAAGGCTTCCCCTTCCGGAAGCACAATTAAACAAATTACAGGAAACACGAGGACGTCTATTGTAATATATGAATGGATGGTTAAATCGGATATGTTTTCAGGAAAATGAAGCATGGCCATGCTGCATCGTCATGCACACATTCAGCTATTGTTTGCATCGCGCACACGGCGCAGATTTTTTAAAACGACTTTATTCGCGAGCCTGCAATAAAGCCTCATGAAAACATAAAATTAAAGAATACAATATGATGTAAATATTTACCTGCTGCCACTGTGTCGGACGCTGTTACTATGTTGGCCATGGATCGCACGAGAAAAGAAAAGCTGCAAACCAGCCGCAGTGACGCCGCTATGCAGCTCAGGTGTCCGCTTTCATCAACGAATCTCAAGGGAATATAACAAACTCAGCATGAAGCTAAATAGTCCCGATGAAGGTCATGGCGAGGGCTGGGGATGAGGAGTCTGGCTCGGATGATGCTGACGTGATATATCCAGTGAACACAGCGGAAACATGCACTGACTGCATGACGCACCATACAGCCAATGGGGGCGGGAGTGTTTGAAGAAATTGCCATATTTTGGGATTCTATAGTCTCATAAAGAAGATAGTGGTGTGTGGTATATATTCCGAAATAAATTGTCATATACAGAATACATATTTTATATAAAACAATTACTGTCCAGTATATGGATTCACTTCAAAGAGTGAAATATGTTGTGGTGTTACTATTATTATTATTACTATTATTATTTATGTTTGTGTATTTTGATATATTTTGGTTAAGAAAAATCCAAATCACCTCGAGAAATTAGGAAGTTTCATGACAAACAATTATTTTAAACATAAAAATTAGACATTTGCCTTCTGAAAAAATATTTTCCTATATGAACGTGAATAAGGTCTCATTTTTGTTAAAAAACAACTCCACAGATATTTTACCTAAGGATTAAACTTTTCATAAAATCGTCGTTTTTTGTCTTATTTCATGCACATTTGCTGTCACACACAAACCGCTAAAAAATGGTGGCAGCAAAGCTTCCATGGCACCAGTGTAAGAGTAGAGGAAGAAGAAATGGAGCGGAACCGGAAGTACATCGGCGACCAGAAGGACGTAGCTGTGCTGGGCGGTGGCAAGCTATCTCAGGAACGATGCTGTCACTTTTCTGTAATGTGCTTAGGACTGGTGCTCAAAAAAATGTAAGTGCACTGTTTTCGTATCGCGATGGCTTAAATGCAATATCCTGCATCGACCTCCAGCCCACATTATGGATATCCACACCCTAAATGAAACTGTCAACGATCTGTTGACCTTGTTAGGCCGAATGGAAGCTGGCAGCTGGCCTCTGAGATCTGAGGGCGGTCAAATTGTTTTGGTTGACAAATGCTTTCCCACCGATAGGTTTTTTTATGTAAACATTCATGCATTTAGAATTTTGATTATGCCTACGCGTTTTACGCCTGCACGCTGCTCCTACAGACAAAGATACAATTTACACCCGGCCGAATGCTGTCTACGATATTTCTTTGTGATTCAGATTCGCTCTCTTCCATCTAATCTCAACGAATGTTAGGGCTGTGCAAATATGGAAAAAAAATCACCATTATTAAAACGATTATTCACTGATTACTGATCACTAATTACTCAAAACTATAACAATAGCCTCATTGCCATTCATCCCTGCATTTTGAGGACTTTATTTTTGAAGACCCTATCCTTTTGGCAAGTACAAAACGACCTTGGAAAGATCATGTGAAATTCATGCCTCTTGTATTTTCATTCTGCGACGTCTATTCCTTTGATGTCTTTCTGGGATTGACTGTGCTAACGTGGGACCTCGGGGATTGTAATTTTGTGCCACGTAACGTAGTAACGTGTTGGTACGACAAAAAAAAGTCATGGGATTTTTGTGTTGTTGAATTTTTGGGAAAGGAAAATTCCTTGTATTTTCGCAAAGTCTCGAACATATAAATGCCTGTTCTCAGGGCGCTGCAGTGGTTGTGTCAGCAAGGACCTACGCCGACTTCACAACTCAAGCTACTTTTGAAATAAAGGTTAGTTTCAAATAACACAAATGGCCAATGCCAAGCGCACTTTGGAATTGTAATTGACGTGTTGTTGTTCCTACTTAGAAATGCGACCTCCACAAACTGGACGTGGGCCCGGCCACTGAGGTAGTGATGACTCGCGATGAGGGTCTGCAGTACTATCGCACCTTGCAGACGATTAGGCGAATGGAGCTGAAGGCCGATCAGCTGTACAAGCAGAAGATCATCAGAGGCTTCTGTCACTTGTATGACGGCCAGGTAATCATGAAGCCAAATATCCGTATCATGTATTTATAAACACCTCCGGTTGGACTTAAGCTCTTTATTTCTCTTCGCAGGAAGCCTGTGCTGTTGGTATCGAGGCAGCAATCAACTTGTCCGACCACCTGATCACGGCCTACCGCGCTCACGGCTACACTTTAACCAGGGGAGGCACTGTAAAGGAAATTATGGCTGAGCTCACTGGTGAATCCCAGTTACTAAATATCACTATCAGTATTGAGATGTTGATGTTCATTTTGATGATTCTTTGGATTCTTTTTATGTACAGGGCGAAGAGGTGGCATTGCAAAGGGAAAGGGAGGGTCCATGCATATGTACTGTAAACATTTCTATGGAGGAAATGGAATTGTTGGAGCACAGGTGTGTGTGTGTGTGTGTGTGTGTGTGTGTGTGTGTGTGTGTGTGTGTGTGTGTTTGTGTAAAATGTGTGCTCTCTGGTCAAAACGCATGGGAAAACATTTTTGGAGCTTTGCGCTTGTGTGTCTGACTTCTCAGGTTCCACTCGGTGCTGGCGTGGCTCTGGCCTGCAACTATCTTGGCAACAAACAGTTATGTGTCTGTCTCTATGGTGATGGTGCTGCCAACCAGGTGAGTTGTACTTAATTTCCCCAAATATTCTACACACACACACACACACACACACACACACACATACACACACACACATACACACACACACACACACACACACACACACACACACTACAGGGATTGTTTTTGTTTTACTCCAGCAACTTGTGTGCTCCACAGGGTCAAATCTTTGAGACGTACAACATGGCCGCACTTTGGAAGTTGCCCGTCATCTTCATCTGCGAGAACAACAGGTATGGCATGGGCACGTCGGTGGAGCGAGCAGCAGCCAGCACGGACTACTACAAGAGAGGAGACTACATCCCTGGTCTCAGGGTATAAAGCTCCTCTACATCTCTATTCCTTGCGTTAATGCATATCATCAACAAACACTTTTTGACATATTTACAGTGTTCGTCAAACGTGTCAGTCATCGCTTGATTCTGTTGCCCTTTTATGTCAGAATTAACAATTATAGATCACAGACATCTCATGATGTGACCAAACCACTGTCTTACTTTCTTTTTTTCCCAGCAGGCGCTAGTGTGGTATTAACAGCGTTCTGGTCATGAACATTAGCTCCTTTTAAGATGCCTGTGAATGACATTTTTTGCGGCTTTTTATCATGTTGTGATGCGACGTAAATAGCCGACGCGGAATAGGATGAATTGACTGCATCTCTGGTAGTATCAGATACCTAACACGCCTGACTGTGAATTATTGAAATAAACTAAGAGCCTGGAATGTGCTACCTCCCAGCAACCCTGAATGCGTTAATTACATCTGCAATCATTTGGATTTTAGGTGGATGGGATGGATGTCCTCTGTGTTCGGGAAGCAACTCGGTTTGCAGCCGATATGTGTCGAGCAGGGAAAGTATGTTAGACATATTAAATGATGATACAGATGCTGTTTTTTTTCCCCATTTCTTTAGTCACACTGTTTTTTAAATTTTATTTTATTTTAGGGTCCTGTTCTGATGGAACTTCAGACGTATCGCTATCACGGTCACAGTATGAGTGATCCTGGTGTCAGGTAATTTATGGGCCATTTGTAGCCGCAATGGGGAGGGAAGCAGAAACATACTTTCACACTTACCGATGTACGAGGCTTATTCTCGGACCGCCAACACAACAGGACATTGCACAAGCGGCCATAAAACAATAGTCCACTAGATGGTGTCAAAGTAGTATGGAAATTGCTTTGGCCAAAATATAATCATAGCAAATATTTCCAGCAGTTGTTCTTCAAATCCCGCTCAGAAAACACAAAACGGCTAATTACACTACTTTGTGCTAGTATGTACTACTATGCTACACGATACTCTTCGAGTGCACGCTCACAACACCCCTGCACCAATCTTTGCCCTCACAGCTACCGCACGCGTGAGGAGATCCAGGAAGTGCGCAGTAAGAGCGACCCCATCTCCTTGCTGAAGGACCGAATGCTCAGCAACAACATGGCCAGTGTGGAAGAGCTGAAGGTAGCAACTACCGCCTCTCGGCAAAAACAGATTGTTTCATATAACGTTTTCGACTTGATTGAGTTAACTTTTGGTGTTGTGTTTGTAGGAAATTGACGTCGAGGTGAGGAAGGAAATCGAAGACGCTGCTCAGTTTGCCACCACGGATCCTGAACCGCCACTGGAAGAACTGTGCAACCACATCTTTCACAACGATCCACCGCTTGAGGTGCGCGGCACCAACCCATGGACCAAGCTGAAGTCTATCAGTTAAAGAATCTTTTTTTTCTCCCCCACTCCACTCCAACATATAACAACTGCCACAAAGCAAGCTCTCTCTCATATGTTAGCTTAAAGTCACACCTTAGACCCACAACCTGAAGTCTCAGCAACTTGTTTTATGTAATTTTTTTTGTTTTTGTTTTTGTTTTTACAGCTGTGGCTCTTAAAATAAACGTACAAGATATGGCTACATCAGGGGTGTCCAAACTGAATTTGAGGGTGGCATATAGAATAATTAAAGGATGCATTTTCTTCTGGGAGGGATCCCCCCAAACATACATAACATCTTTCTGTTAAAGGTGTTAAGGCATTAGCGACCGAATGCCATCTCCGCATTTAGAACCAAAACAAGAGCACTGTGTCGTACGTTGACCTGTTTTAAAACAATTTCTTGAGGATCATTCATGTTCATAAATCAGGCCTTGACACCGAGCAGAAAGTGGAAAAAACTCTTTTTACTTCTCAAATTAAATTATTTTTCCACCATATTTTGTAGCTATAAGTAATTAATTTGTGTCTTTGCAAATCTAGAAAAGCTCAATAATATAGAAACCAATTTATTCGTAAATAATGGCACCTATTTTTTTCAAAGCCCCCCTACCTCCCATTCTCACTCTGCTTGCTTCTTTTTTTTAACCTTGCGAGCCGTGTCAAATGTCATTTTTCGTATGTGCTTTGCGTAGCTGAAAATAAGATAGAGGCCCACAAATGGCCCCCCAGGCTGTAGTTTGGACACCTCTGGGCTACATCCATTCACTATTTATTCGACACATGTTGAAAACTGTCAGTAGGAGCTAACTCAGCTGCTTTTCAGAAGGCTATTTGGTTCGTGGTGACAAGTTACTGCAATAAAAAAAAAATAGACTGGTATTCCCTTTCCTGTCAGTTCAGCATTTGGAAGACGTACAGTAGATAATGACAGATGTGGCTTTCTTGATTACCCGTAAGGTGTGTTCTTTCAAAAGTGATGTTCTGCAAGTGTCACACTCCATTGCAGGAAGCTACACTGCAAGCCCACTTATGTAACACTTAAAATGAACAAAGTACACAACATGTGAAGGCTTTTCTCCTTGATGTGAGAAGTAGCCTATTTTGCCAACAAAAAAAAAAAAAACATTGACAGTGTCCAATCCTGTTTTGATGCAGCTTCGATTCTCGCCCTGCCAATGATAGCTGTTACGTTGAAAGAAGGATGATGATTGAAGGGAGCGATTTGAGCGCATCATGTAATAAACGATCTGAACTCCTGCGTTTTTGTTTCTTTATTTTACCATATGTTAAATAAACCAATAGAACGCAGGCCGTTTCATGTTACCCGCGCAATTAGGTGAGAATGTGGTTTGTTCAAATAGAACTTGTTGGTTGGCTTTCCAGCAAACGTGCGCCACTACGGTCAACTTACACGATGTATGTGTGAGAATCGAGTCAGTTTGCTGTCAGGAGTTAGACAGGCTCAATGGCTTTCTTTTTCTCGAGCATCCTAAGACAGAGGACACTTGCTGGCCTAAAGGTATGCGTACATTGGCATTTCCCAGTGTGGATTCAGCTCTAGTTTGTGAAGGATAAGTAGATGCCAACGGGTTCTTTGTAATATTTTGTTCATCTTGTGCACCGAAATAGCAACTAAAAATACTTTCAAATATCTAGACCGACTTTTAGTTGTGTCTTTCTCCAAGCTCCAACTACGTAAGAATCGATGCTATTAAATGACATCAGTTGTATGAGCATTTTTTTTTTTTCAAAGGCTAAATAATTGATACAGCTCTCGTATTGCATCGTCGTTAGATTTTTTTTGCAAGCGTACTTTGGTTTTCATCGACCTGACCGACACACTTGAAACAAGAAAAGACAAGGATTAAGTCTTTCGTTGGTTATACTATTTGAAAGTGTACTTGGCCTTCCCTCAATAGGCTGGTTGTAGCAGCATATCATGTCATTTCACCGGTGATTATTCGCTTAACTGCTGCTGCAATTCTCAAACTTACAGTATGCTTAAATAACTACAGCCAAAATGAACAGTATTAAAATAAAGCAGCGCAGTAGGCCGAGGTGTTACTCAAAACTGAGTTTTTATTCCCCAAAAGCATATTTAGCATTTGGGTTCAACGTTTGATTTCCAGGCTCTGGCTTTCCTGTGCCTGTGTGGGTTTTCGCCAGGTACTCTGGTTCCTCCCCCCACATTCCAAAAAAACGTGCACGGTAGGTTAAATGAAAACTAGACTGTCGTTCGGTGTGATTGCGAGTGCGAATGGTTGCGATTGGCTGGCAACCAATTCATACTACCCCGCCTACTGCCTGAAGACAGTTGGATCAAACCCATCACCTCTGCACCGTGAGGCGGATGTGCTAACCAGTCAAATATCGTGCCACCTTCTTAAAACCTTGCAAATACTCACCTGAATACATTTTTGACATACTTAGCCCCAACATTTCTCAACCGCTTGAACCTGCAGGTATTCCAATTTTAGAACCCCCCAACTGTATTCTATTGTCAATGTAATCAATTAGGCTTATATCCATCCCTCCATCCATTTTCCGATCCGCTTTATCCTCACAAGGGTCGCGGGTGGTGCTGGAGCCTATCCCAGCTGTTTTCGGCCAGTCGACAGGAGACACCCTGAACCGGTTGCCAGCCAATCACAGGGCACGCAGTGACGAACAACCATCCGCGCTCACACTCATACCGAGGGACAATTTTGAGTATTCAATCAGCCTGCCATGCATGTTTTTGGAATGTGGGAGGAAACCGGAGTACCGGGAGAAAACCCATGCAGGCCCTGGGAGAACATGCAAACTCCACAGAGGGAGGCCGGAGCCGGGATCAAACCCACGACCTCTGCACTGTGAGGTCGACGCACCAACCACTGGCCCACCGGGCCACCTATTTTACTCATGTTCCATTGTATTATTTACCATCAGTCATTTAACAAATATTTGATGAGATCAATGAATAATGCCCACCGATGGCCTTAGTCTGATGGATGCCACATAAAATGTACTTTGAGTGACAGTTTTACTTGCAGGGGACAGCAGCGCTCAGATCTGCGAGCTTCACAACCCAGGCAGCCATTCAAATCAAGGTGGAACAGGACCGTCTCGGATTCCCGATATGCGCTCCGTGCTGAGTACACTCTTCTACTTTTGCCGTAGAAATGTGACGTCCATCGATTGGATGAGGCACCTTCCACTCAAGTGGTTCTGACTCGCGATGAGGCGCTGCAATACTACCTCACCATGCAGACAATTCGGAGCTTGGAGCTGAAGACAAAACAACTGTTTGACCAGATGATCATCGGAGGTTCCTGCCACTTGTATGCTGGCCAGGTGTGGTAAACATAAAAAGGATCAAGATTCTAGGGTGGTGATTCCCATCCATTGTGAACAAAAAAATTAAATGATTACCTTTCACTTAATTATCACCCCCAAAATATTTATTTCAGCATTATTTCAGTATACCGCATACATTTTTTTTTTTGCAATATTTTGGTGCGCTGTGGGATTTTTCAATAGCAAAAGACTCCAAAAATATTGGGAATTGGTGACTTAGAAATGGCAAAAAGATTCTTCCGGCCAAATGTCAACATCACGAGAGGACGAAGAATGACCCCCGTTGCTTCCTTCTAATAGGAAGCGTGCGCAGTTGGGATTGAGGCAGCCATTAAACCGACTGACCACCTCATTACCGGCTATCGCACTCATGGCTTCGCATTCACCAGGAGTGGCTCTCTTCGGGCGATTTTTGCCGAGCTTGCAGGTAAGCATGAGAAGATGCTCTGACAACTCGCGTGAGAGCACACGCAATGTTTCAACTCAAATGTTTTGCGAGAATCTTGAGGCATAGATATCCAGAGAATTTGGCATGGATTGCAAATCGTTCACGTTTGGACTGTGTTTAGGCCGAAAGACGGGACTATCAAAAGGCAGAGGGGGATCCATGCACATGTACACAAAAAACTTCTACGGAGGTTGGGCTGTTGTTGGATCTCAGGTAATGCACACAGTAATTCATTTAATAATCAGGATCGTATTTTTCGTGGGACGGTTACGTGCTCCAATGTTGCCTTGTTTGGTGCAATCAATGTGACTCGATTTGGGCTCTCCTCAGGTTCCTTTGGGTGCCGGTCTGGCGTTGGCATGCAAGTACCGGAAGACGGATGAGCTGTGCGTTTGTCTCTATGGTGACGGTGCAGTCAACCAGGTACACATACACACACTGCGTCTTGTTTGTTCATCAACACCTGACCTCTTGACCTCCAACCTTTCGATAGGGGCAGGTTGCTGAGACCATGAACATGGCGGCACTTTGGAAGCTCCCCATCATTTTCGTCTGCGAGAATAATAAATACGCATTATGTACTCCAGTGGAACGAGGTAGCGTGAATACCAACTTCTACACGAGAGGGGATGTCATTCCAGGGCTCAGGGTAAAGTTCTGGAGCCTCCCTCAAATTTTTTGAAATGAATGTCAACTTCAAGCATTAAACGATGATGCGGAGAGATGAAGTCAGTCTTTAGGAGCCTCTCAGGCCCAACACAGTCCGTTCTGATTTTTGGATTTGGAAACCAAAACCACATAGGAAATAATGGAATGGAATACTGTATATGTTTTTTTTTTAAGAAAAGGGAAAAACAAGACTAAGTGAATAAGTTTAGACGGCTATTTAAAAATACATGTTCTTCAGTATTCAAAATACTGAAGAACATGTATTGTTGGAAACCTGCATTGACCTATTGATGCATCTCCAGGCGGACGGGATGGACATCCTCTGTGTTCGGGAGGCAACCAGGTTTGCTTCTGATCACTGTCGGTCGGGGAAAGTGAGAAAAGTTTCTTTTTATACCGAATAATTCCAATTATTGATGACAGTGTAATTTACATTTAAAATGTCATGCCGAATTAATTAGTATGTTTAATTTCTTTGTGTCTCAGGGTCCAATCATTTTGGAGCTACAGACCTATCGCTATTTTGCACACTATGCGGGTGACGATGAGGACAGGTAAAAGTCTTCAGATTTAATATACGGTATACATTTTCAGTGGTGGTAGCACCATGCAGTCATGGTGAAAGTAAACACAGACTTTGGGTCTTATTTTGTTGATACCACAAAGGACGAGCATTTGAAAAGTGGTGTCCAGACTTTCCGTATCTACTGGAGATATACACTCGGTGTCCTTCCTTATCTCCCAGTTATCGCTCAGCGGAGGAGGTTGATGAGGTCCGCAGAAACAGAGACCCCATCTCACAATTTGAGGTTCGCATCATCAGCAACAACATGGCCAGCACGGAGGAACTGAGGGTAACTAACTACGTACTGTCTGTAATTCTAGAGGGAAGCGTCGCAGAAATTTTGGAAACAGTTTGCCTTTCTTGTGCCCCGCTTCATGCAGCAAATTGATGAGCAAATCAAAAAGGAAGTTGAAGAAGCTACACAATTTGCCATCCAAAGCCCTGAACCCCCAGTAGAAGAACTGTGCAACCACATCTACAGCAATTGTGTGCCACAAGATGTGCGCGGCATCAACCCATGGACCAAGCTGAAGTCTGTCAGTTAAAGATTTTTTTTTTCTTCCCCCACTCCACTCCAACAAATAACAACTGCCCCAAAGCAAGCTCTCTCTCATATGTTAGCTTAAAGTCACACCTTAGACCCACAACCTGAAGTCTCAGCAACTTGTTTTATGTATTTTTTTTTTTTTTTTTTTTACAGCTGGGGGCCTCTTAAAATAAACGTGCAGGATGTGGCGACATCAGAGGTGTCCAAACTGAATTTGAAGGTGGCAAACAAAATAATTACTGGATGCAAGGGTTGCTCCGAAATGTTTTTACTTGAAGTGATGAAACACAGTGAAATGAATAAATCGAGCAATTATTTATTGTTGCATTTTCTTTTTTTGGGGGGGGACCCCCCCCCCCAAACATACATAACATCTTTCTGTTAAGGGTGTTAAGGCATTAGCGACCGAATCCCATCTCCGCATTTAGAACCAAAACAAGAGCACTCTGTCGTAAGTTGACCGTTTTTAAAACAATTTCTTGAAGATCATTCATGTTCATAAATCAGGCCTTGACACCGAGCACAAAGTGGAAGAAACTATTTTTACTTCTGAAATTGAATTCTTTCTCCACCATATTTTGGAGCTATAAATAGTTAATTTGTGTCTTTGCAAGTCTAGAAAAGCTCTATAATATAGAAACCAATTTCTTAGTAAATAGTGGCACCTATTTTTTCTAAGCCCCCCCACCTCCCACTTATGCACCACTTCAAGGGAGCGATTTGAGCGCATCATGTAATGAACGATCTGAAATACTACGTTTTTGTTTCTTTATTTTATCGTATGTTGAATAAACCACTGGAATGCAGACAATTTAAGGTTTGCTGAATAATTTGGTGACAACGTTGTCTGTTAAAATAGAACCGGTTGGTTGGCTTTGTACTTTCCAGTGAAGGTGTGCCACTACAGTAAATTTTAACACAATGTATGTCTGAGAATCTAGTAAGTTTGCTGTCAGGAGTCAAGCAGGCTCAATGGCTTTCTTTTTCTCGAGCATCCTAACACAGAGGACACTTGCTGGCCTAAAGGTATGCGGCGGACATTGTCATTTCCCAGTGTGAATTTAGCTCTAGTTTGTGGAGGATAAGCAGATGGTCACAGGTTCTTTGTAATATTTTGCTCATCTAGTGCGCCGAAATAAAGCAACTAAAAATACTTTCAAATACCTAGACCGACTTTTAGTTGTGCGTTTGTCCAAGCTACAACGACATAAGAATCGCTGCTATTTAATGACATCAGTTGTATGAGCATTTTTTTTCCAAAGGCTGAATACTTGATACAGCTCTCATGTTGCATCCTCTTTAGATTTTTTGGCAAGTGTACTTTGTTTTTCATTGACAATAAACGATAACAACAATAGCACTGTGTGTATCGAAAAAGTAAAAAATATCATTCCCACGGCCAGCTCACAGTGCAGAGGTGCAGGGTTCGATTTCGGGCTCCGGCTTTTTTCCTGTGTGCAGTTTGCATGTTCTCCCCGTGCCTGCATGGGTTTTCACTAGGTACTTGGCTGGCAACCAATTCAAAGGGGGTACACCGTTTGAATTGGTTGCCAGCCATTCGCCTCCTGCCTGAAGACAGCTGGTATAGTCCGGAATCAAACCCGTGACCTCTGCACTGTGAGGCGAATGTGCTCACCAGTCAAACATCGTGCCGCCTTCCTAAAACATTGAAAATACTCACCTAAGGACATTTTAACATATTTAGCCCCAACGTATACATTTCTCGACCACTTGAAAATACAGGTATTGCAATTTTAGAACGCTTCCCCCCTCACAACTGTATTCTATTGTCATTGTAATCGATTAGCCTGATATTTAATAAATAATAAAAAGTGTTAAATGTGTATATAACACCCTTTATTTTACTCATATTTCATTTTATTATTTACCACAGGTCATTTAACAAAATATTTGATGAGATCAATGAATAATGCCCACCAATGGGCTGAGTCTGATGGATGGCACATAAAATGTACTTTGAGTGACAGTTTTACTTGCAGGGGACAGCAGCGCTCAGATCTGCGAGCTTCACAACCCAGGCAGCCATTCAAATAAAGGTGGAATAGGACCGTCTCGTATTCCCGATATGCGCTCCAGGCTGAGTACACTCTTCTACTTTTGCCGTAGAAATGTGACGTCCATCGATTGGATGAGGCACCTTCCACCCACGTGCTTCTGACTCGCGATGACGCGCTGCAATACTACCTCACCATGCAGACAATTCGGAGTTTAGAGCTGAAGGCAAAACAATTGTTTAACCAGATGATCATCCGAACTGTCTGCCACTTGTATACTGGACAGGTATCGTAAACATAAAAAGGATCAAGATTCCAGGGCGGCGATTCCCATCCAATGTGAACAAAAAATGAAATGATTAACTTTCACTTCATTATTCCCCCAAATTATTTATTTTACCATTATTTCAGTGTACTGCATACTTTTTTTGGTGACATTTTAGTGCGCTGTGGGATTTTTCAAAAACAAAAGACTCAAAAAATGTTGGGAATTGTTGACCTAGAAATGGCAAAAAGATTCTTCCGGCCAAATGTCAACGTCGCGAGAGGACGAAGAATGACCCCCATTGTTTGCTTCTAACAGGAAGCGTGCGCGGTTGGGATTGAGGCAGCTGTTAAACCGACTGACCACCTCATTACTGGGTATCGCACTCATGGCTTCGCATTCACCAGGGGGGGCTCCCTTCGGGCGATTGTGGCCGAGCTTGCGGGTAAGCATTCGAAAATGCTCTGACAACTTGCGTGAGAGCACACGCAATGTTTGAACTCAAATGTTTTGCGAGAATATTGAGGCATAGATTTCCAGAGAATTTGGCATGGATTGCAAATCGCTCACGTTTGGACTGTGTTTAGGCCGAAAGGCGGGACTATCAAAAGGCAGAGGGGGATCCATGCACATGTACACAAAAAACTTCTACGGAGGTTATGCTGTTGTTGGATCTCAGGTATAATGCACACAGCAATTCATTTAATCATCATCATCTTATTTTTCTGGATATTTTTTTTTCATGATATAGGTGGGACAGTTACGTGCTGCTATATTGCCTTTTGGTTTGAACAATTAGTGATACAGTTGTGGCTTCATAGGGTAAATTAAGAGAATACTAAGCCGGCAAAGAAAACGTGATGTGCTTCACTATGGCATCGGGCCAATCTGATTGGACACTTTCAGTTTGACGTACTGTAATTGCCAAGATGTTTGGTGCAATCAATGTGACTCGATTTGGGCTCTCCTCAGGTTCCTCTGGGTGCCGGTCTGGCGCTGGCGTGCAAGTACCAGAAGACGGATGAGCTGTGCGTTTGTGTCTATGGTGACGGTGCAGTCAACCAGGTACACATAAACACACTGTGTCTTGTTTCTTCATCAACACGTGACCGCTTGACCTCCAACCTTTTCGATAGGGGCAGGTTGCTGAGACCATGAACATGGCGGCACTTTGGAAGCTCCCTGTCATTTTCGTGTGCGAGAATAACAAATACGCAAAAGGTACTGCGTTGGAGCGAGGTAGCGTGAATACCAACTTCTACACGAGAGGGGATGTCATTCCTGGGCTCAGGGTAAAGTTCTGGAGATTCCCTTAAATGTTTCAAATGAAGCCACATAGGACAAACACGCAGCCCTGACTAATTATCATTTGCATATTCTGTCCATGGTACTGCCATGTGAAGACTGCGTTGTTTTATTGGCCAGAGATTATGCCGCTCTACACAACGTTATAGTCAGCCAATGGCAGCAGATGGCAACTTGAAAGTTGTCTGTAGTGCAAAGTGGCCGAATGGTCAATGAGATCGCCAAAACACGTAATGAGCGATTAGTCAACTTCAAGCACGAAATGATGATGCGGAGAGATAAGGTCAATCTTTAGGAGCCTGGAAGGCCCAACACAGAAGTTTAGACGGCTATTTAAAAATATATGTTCTTCAGTATTTTGACTGTTGGAAACCGGCATTGACCCATTGATGCGTCTCCAGGCGGACGGGATGGACATCCTCTGTGTTCGGGAGGCAACCAGATTTGCTTCTGATCATTGTCGGTCTGGGAAAGTGAGAAATGATTATTTTTTTCTCTCTTTTTTTCTAATAATGTCAATTTTTTATGACAGTGTCATTTATATTTAAAGATGTTATGCCGAATTAATTTTTATCTTTTATTTCTTTGTATCTCAGGGCCCAATCATTTTGGAGCTTCAGACCTATCGCTATTATGGACACCATGAGGGTGACAGCGAGGACAAGTAAGTCTTAATATTTGATACATACATTTTCAGTGGCGGTAGCACTGTGCAATTATGGTGAGAGTATACACATCTCAGGAAATGTGTTTGAATCTCAGCTCGGGCACTCTTGTGAAAAACAAGAATCTTAAATTAATTAAACACTCTAAATGTGTGATGTGTCACATCGTGTGAATATATTTCATTTTTGATATTTAGTTGGGCAGGTATTCAGTCACAGTAATGGTGGAAAAAAGACCTTGGGTCTTATTTTGTTGATACCACAAAGGGTGGGCATTTGAAAAGTGGTGTCCAGACTCTCTGTATCTACTGGACTTATACACTTCCTTATCTCCCAGGTATCGCTCAGCGGAGGAGGTTGATGAGGTCCGCAGAAACAGAGACCCCATCTCACAACTTGAGGCTCGCATCATCAGCAATAACATGCAAGTAAGTCTTAATATTTGATACATACATTTTCAGTGGCGGGAGACCTGTGCAATTATGGTGAGAGTATACACATCTCAGGAAATGTGTTTGAATCTCAGCTCGGGCACTCTTGTGAAAAACAAGAATCTTAAATTAATTAAACACTCTAAATGTGTGATGTGTCACATCGTGTGAATATATTTCATTTTTGATATTTAGTTGGGCAGGTATTCAGTCACAGTAATGGTGGAAAAAAGACCTTGGGTCTTATTTTGTTGATACCACAAAGGGTGGGCATTTGAAAAGTGGTGTCCAGACTCTCTGTATCTACTGGACTTATACACTTCCTTATCTCCCAGGTATCGCTCAGCGGAGGAGGTTGATGAGGTCCGCAGAAACAGAGACCCCATCTCACAACTTGAGGCTCGCATCATCAGCAATAACATGGCCAGCACGGAGGAACTGAGGGTAACTAACTACGTCCTGTCTGTAAATGCAAAGCAAAGCATAGCAGAAATTTTGGAAACAGTTTGCCTTTCTTGTGCCCCGCTTCATGTAGCAGATTGATGAGCAAATCAAAAAGGATGTTGAAGAAGCTACACGATTTGCCCTCCAAAGCCCTGAACCCCCAGTAGAAGAACTCTGCAACCACATCTACAGCAATTGTGTGCCACAAGACGTGCGAGGCATCAACCCATGGACCAAGCTGAAGTCTGTGAGCTAAAGTTGAATGAGCTAGGAAAGATCGCAAATGGACCTGTCTGAGACCTATAACAAGTTAACGCTTTAATAAACATGTCTGAATACATTGAGATCAATCGGGCTGGTTATTTTACCCCCGCAAAAATTATGAAAAATCAGCATAACGGAGAGAAATATGGATTATACTTTTGGACAGCACTTTTTATGCCTAACTCATTGTATCCGCATTTTTAGTTGGACAAAATGAGCATTGGATTTGGCACTTTTGTTTGGCAGCTTGTTCTGTAAAACAAAGAAATGGAATACTAAAGTGACTCATACCATTTGAGGAGGCTATAAACCAACCCATGCCACTATTAGTAAAAATCCACAAGTAATTGACACCGATCCAAAGCAAATTTTCCCTCCCTCAAAAAAGTTGGGAATGAATGCATATATTTTTCTCCAGAAGGTGGCAGTAGTGCGGTAGAAAGAACGCAAAACGGCCGTAGTACTTGAAGACGAAGAGCGTCTGCAATTTCGACCAAATCCTTCACAACACAACCAGCAACCACGCTCGCGCGCCCGTGTTTACGTGCACCCAAAGGACCATCGTGATGGAGACCTCCGTTCACGTCAACACGCAGAGGGAACTCTTTTGTGCCGCTTTGCTGCTCTTCGTCACATTCTCTTCCGCGCAAGAAGACTCCCCGGTGAAGAATGCTCAGTGTCACAACTACGCGGGAGGACACGTCTATCCTGGAGAGGCTTCCCGTGTGCCCGTTTCAGATCATTCCCTGCACCTCAGCCAGGCCAAGAGTGAGTCCGCTGAGTTACGACGCCTGCGAGCTATTAGCCTTTTAAGTCTTTTATATCTTGCATTTGGAGCGCTTGGTCGCGCTGCCGCTCCTGCTGTAGTAGTCAGGACAACAGAAATGTTTCAAAGCTAGCTGCAGCCTGCTTTATTATCGTTCTGTTTCTTTCCTTTGAGGTTATGGTGGGAAATTGCACATAGACACTCGGCCAGATTTGAAATGAAGGACTAGGTGCATTTTTAGGACACGTCATTCTTAAATGTTGTGCTCCTCACCCGCCCCCCCACGCACACATGACAGAGCTTGGCAAAGAAACACAAACGGGTTGGACCATACTGGAACACATGTTCCAGTTTAAAAACGAAAGGAACACACTGGGTGCTCCTTCCTGGTAGAGCTGAGTGATACTGTTACAATTGATCAACTGGCATTTTTTTCAGTCAAAATATGATTAGAATACAGTTATTGTTATTGATGATGATACATGTGCAGCTGTCCTGCCAAGATGAATAATATGTGCGTGTGTGTGTGTGTGTGTGTGTGTGTGTGTGTGTGTGTGTGTGTGTGTGTGTGTGTAATATTCAAGTCAAGTCAGCTTTTATTGTCAAATATGTTCTATGTGTAACATAGAGGACAGATGAAATTACTTTCCTCTCTCGACCACAGTGCAAACATGTAGTGCATTGAACACACACAGCTAATATTATTTTCTTAATTTTGGATTATGCATTTACAAATTCGCTTTGCCCACATGTAATTAAATATAATTCAAAGACACCCTGTCTAATCTGAGCTAACTACAGTGGCTTTAACAAAAGCCTTGTGACTATCTTGCAGTTTCAAAGGCCGCGCCACACTGGGAAGGAACAGCGGTCATCAACGGTGAATTCAAGGAGCTGAAGCTGTCCGACTACAGAGGGAAATACCTCGTCTTTTTCTTCTACCCTCTGGATTTGTGAGTGACTGAAAACAAACGTCACTTTTTAATTACTTAATGGCTTTGGCGGGAAGTGAAACCGCTCTACGTTTGTCTCTGTACCCCCAGCACGTTTGTCTGCCCAACCGAAATCATCGCCTTCAGTGATCGCGTGCATGAGTTTCAGGCCATCAACACAGAAGTGGTTGCCTGCTCGGTGGACTCCCAGTTCACCCACTTGGCCTGGTAACCTGACATGATCTCATCACAGCTGCAACTGGAAATTAGAATTATAGCTGTGCGGGCTGGTTGGATTAAAATTGGTTGTATGGTTTGCAGTATAGAATATTTACGAATTGGTGTAACGTTATGGAGTGATGTTCCATCAGCCTCGCAATGTTATCACAGCATTCCTTCAACCTCCTTCCATCCACAATTAAGTTTTGTTCATGGACAAACCTGAAATGCAGAGTTCCTCCTCCCTCTCAATGTGCTAAATAATAAAAAGAAATGTTTAATTTGGATCTGATACACATACATTTTAAAATATTCATTGATATTTTTTTTCGTTTTGTGAATCATTCAAATTTAAAGAATAATTGTGCTCCCAATTATTTTCTTGGCCAGGATCAACACAGCCAGGAAGCAGGGAGGACTTGGACCAATGAAAATCCCTCTTTTGTCTGACCTCACTCACCAGATTTCCAAAGACTATGGAGTCTACCTGGAGGATCAGGGCCACACGCTGAGGTGCAGTCGTCAAACCAGTTTCGCCGTTTCTACCTTTTACACCACCCCGGTGTCATACCTCATGTTCAAGAGTCGCTGTTGATGTGTTTCAGGGGGCTCTTCATCATTGACGACAAAGGCGTCTTGAGGCAGATCACCATGAATGATCTTCCAGTTGGGCGATCCGTGGATGAGACGCTTCGGCTGGTGCAAGCGTTCCAGTACACCGACAAACACGGAGAAGGTACACTGATCTCACCTAACTGACAGATGAAAAGTCAACACATGGGGCTTTAGTATTGAACTTTCAGACATACATATTTTAGCGGATCAGATGATTCTTGCAGATGTTATCCTCAAGCACTAACTGGAATAAAACGACTTTTTTCAGTGTGTCCAGCAGGATGGAAACCAGGCAGTGCCACAGTGAGTATGACTGAGCCATAGCCACTAACTTCTTGTTGTTTACAATGCATTCACAATATTCAGCAGATCCCCCTCCCGCTTTTAAAACATACCTTTAAGTATTAAGTACAACTTTATTGTCAAATGTGCCGTATGTGTACATACAGCACAGGTGAATTTCCTTCCTGCTTCACTTGTGAGACTGAAAGATTTTAATATCATCTGAAATTGAAATTATTTCCTGGACCTTAATTTGACCTTTTCTTTTCTGCAGATCATTCCCGACCCTTCAGGCAAACTGAAGTATTTTGATAAACTGAACTGATGGAATACATTTGAAAATTCAAATAAAATATCTTTTGGTAATACTCTTGTCTGGTCAACCCTTTTTCTGATATTCATTTATTTCTTATCAACCAAAGAGTTTGTAAGTGACTTTGAATGTACTCAAAAGAATCATTGTACTGTACTGTATTCTACTCAGCAAAGCGTTACCACGCTTAAACACTAGTTGGTGCCCAAAAATGATTGAGTGAATCCCTACTTTCATCCATCCATTTTCTGAACCACTTTATCCTCACAAGGGTTGCAAGTGGTGCTGGAGCCTATCCCAGCTGTCTTCGGGCAGTAGGCGAGTGACACCCTGAACCGGTTGCCAGCCAATCGCAGGGCACACAGAGACAAACAACCATCCGTGCTCACACTCACACCTAGAGACAATTTAGAATGTTCCGTTAACCTGCCAAGCATGTTTTTGGAATGTGGGAGGAAACCGGAATGCCTGGAGAAAACCGGCGCCAGCACGGGGAGAACATGCAAACTCCACACAGGGAGGCCGGAGCCGGAATCGAACCTTGCATCTCTGCACTGACGTCGACACGCTAACCACTCGACCAATGGGCCGCCCGCCAAGTTATATATAAGCAAAAAAATAATTGTCTACATAACTATAACCTATTTGAATATACCCTATGTAGGCATCGTAGGGAGTGTAGTTAATTTAGCAGTTAATTTCAACAATAAAACATTTGACCAATGTCAGCAATGTATCAGGTGTCAAAGTGTTGCTTATTATCTGTTAATTTAGCAGTTAATTTCAACAATAAAACATTTTACCAATGTCAGCAATGTATCAGGTATTAACGTGTTGCTTATTATCTGTTTATTCCGAGTTATCTGGGTCATGCAATCTGGGAAAATATGTAAGGCAACTGAGCGTTTACTGGTTGTTGCATTTACGGGAACCATAAAGGAGTGCAGGTGATATGTTAACTTATTAAGTTTGGTGGAACGTATTCGGTACTGTATATTCTTTAAACTGTTCAACTCGACTGGAAATTTTCCAGGTCTGATTAATGTTTACCTTTAGGGCATAATCACGGGGCAGTTTCGTCATCATTCCAAAGTTAAGGTCCATATACTCTGCCAAGGAAGTGACGGGCATTCCCATATATGGAACCTTGTTTTGCACACTCCAAAGTCTATATATAGAGCATGCGAAGTATGCGAAGCAAACTCAGTCTATGTTGTTTGTTCTGATTCATCGGGGGGTCAACTCCTGAGGAGCGGATGAAGAAACAAATTTTGCTTTTATTCACATTCAGAGGGATAGTAAGCAAAGGCAAAAAGGGGAAAAAAAGAAAATGGCCAATTTTATCATACGGACGGCCCAACCAAACGATGTGTGTGATATCTTGCGACTCATAAAGGTAAGCCAGTTACAGCACTTGAATTGCTGAAAGTGGTGCCAGTTAAACATTATACTTGATTTTTTTTGTCTCGTAGGAACTTGCAAAATTTGAAGAGATGGAGGAGCAGGTCATCCTGACAGAGAAAGGTCATTGTTTTATCGAAATGTGTGATTGTCAAGACTGTAATCATATTTAAATCCATGCAAATGAGAACAACAACGTCTGCATTCTTCTTGTAGACCTACTTGAAGATGGCTTTGGAGATCAACCATTCTACCACTGTTTGGTTGTTGACGTGCCAAAAGAAAAGCAAACGTCAGAAGGTAAAAGCAATAAACCCATTTCGGGAGCGAGACTGTGAAATAATTTATCTAAATGGTGGCGCCTCTGAGGTTGAACACACCCTAGAAGGTGAATCTTTGGAGATTTCCGCATTGGCCCACTTCACCGAAGGCGCCTTCCTGCATTGCTTCATCTGATTGAATTGACTTTCACACTATTTGAGCTCACATTATACACCGTCATATTAGGTGTGAAATGTTGCCCACTCGACATCCAATGCAGCCTGGTCATAGTGGAAGGGTGATTTCCTCCCCATCTGCGGCACCTTCTCAAGGTTTCTCATTTCTCCCCATATGTTGTTCCTTGTTCTCGCGGGGGTTAAGATCAAGGGATGTCATTAATATTTGTCAACTGGGGGCATGTGAAGCCCTTTGAGACCTTTCTGTTCACAAACGGCTATATAAATACATTTGTCTTGATTAAATATTCTTTCTCTTATCCACCAGGGCACACTGTCATTGCCTTCGCCATGTACTACTTCACATACGATCCTTGGATTGGAAAGCTGCTGTATTTGGAGGACTTCTTTGTCATGCCAGAGTTTCGGGGTAGAGATTGTTGTCTTATGTGTGTTAAGAATGTAAAGAAAACATTGTAGAATGTTGAAACGGGCACTGTCTGTTAATTAATATTTGTAATGATGTCGTCATTTCGATGTTTGGTCAGGTTTCGGCATCGGCTCAGAGATCCTGAAGGTCTTGAGTGAGGTAAACACTGCTGTTAACAGCCGCCTTCAATCTCTTGTGTGTATTAGTCTTCATGTCATGTGTACTTCTTGCCACAGACGGCAGTGAGGACTCGATGCAGCAGCATGCACTTCATCGTGGCAGAAAACAACACAAAGTCTATTGAATTCTACAAAAGACGAGGGGCAGCTGACCTTTCTTCCGAGGAAGGTTGGCGCCTGTTTGCCATTGACAAGGAGGAGCTGTTGAAAATGGCCACCAAATAAAACTTTTACGGTTTAATCCAGCTGTTTTCTACAGGTAGACTTGATGAATACATCTACATGAGTTACAATTCTGGTATGTCAACTCTACTCTTGTTTTTTTTTCCCCTTTGGAACACCTAAATGATTGAAATAATAGGGAAGGCACATTTAAGTAAATGAAAACAAATTAAAAAGTAACACCAGCAGAAGTTTTATCCTGTTTATTTTTTAATTGTCATGCAATAAAAACAACTGTTTGAAAGAGTTTTATTCAAAAGTATTCAAAGATTCAATTTGATCAGACATGCAAAGTTTCATTCCAGATTTGTTTTCCTTTCAATCATTTTCCATATTGATCACATATCTACGGTGAAACATTGATGTTGAATTATCACCCTATCACCCAGTCCTAATTATCAGCTAATGGAATAAATTTAGTGCATAACTACCAATCCCTGCTTATTGATTTTGACTTGGGGGGGGGTCCCTTGGGTCTACTATGGTACTGTTTTTAATGTTGGTCATTACTTTCGAACTCGGAAAGCAATGTCGCTTTTAAGTAGCACTTGTTGATACAAAAAGTTTGAGAACCACTGTGTTAAAATAAAATGTGTGGAAAACTGGTACAACAATTGTTTTTTTTTTTGCCCCCAGATGACATGATCCACTGCTTCACAACAATCCAATAGAAACTACTCCATGTTATTTATTCATTTCCGTTATATTCGCTTTGATGCCCCAAATGGGACCATAGTTTCACTTTTAATTGTGCAACTACTCGCCTGCTGCTCCGAATTCTAAGGCGAAGTGTACAACAAAGGAGCATCAAGTGTCACCTTCCCCGGTGGTCTTCGCACATTAAAATAACTGCCACAAATGAGGGGTCGTCGCGGGTTTATGGCCTGTTTTCGTCTGCTACCTACACGCGTGCTTTCCACAACAAACCCTTCCGCATTTTCCTGCCGCTCTCGGGCTGTGACGTGTCGTGCTGACGGCGGCCTCGGAGCTCGGAGGTGCGGGTGGCTACTAGCATGTCAAGATCAGGCTCCAGCAGCCCTGCCTTGCTTTGAGTGGAGCTCCAGATACATGCCCCTTCCCCTCCTCTTCCACTCCTCTGCGGCCCGCCCAAATAACACCAAATTCCCGATTGAATCGAGCTCGAGTCTGGGCTAGTGGGGAGGGGGGACCAAGCGGCCCTGGGAAGCCGAAGAGCGGACGGAGGCCATCCCTGCTGCATCTGGTACGGGGCTCCTTGTTGCTCGTAACGCGGCCGCCTGCACTGCGAAGTGTGCATTTGATCGTGTGTGTTATCTATTTTCTATCAGTATTATTATCATTATTGCATGCATGAGACATTTTCATTTATTCATTAATTCAAACCGAGAGGCCGCAAAAAGAAGCGGTGTGGCCTTTTCTTCTTAGGCCCAGGCCTGAAGAAAGGCCACAATTTGTAACGGGAATTTGGGCCTGTGTTGTTAGCTAGCGTGCTAACTAACTAGCTAGTTAGCTCAAAAAAAGGAGCGGATTTATTTCCAATGTGACGTCTTCCGCCACGCGTGTATTGTTTCAACGCTTTGTAAGCGCGACATAGCCTCAATGGCGGAGGTGTTTATGTGCTCTACTTTGACTCGTTCATTCTATATACGTGAGTTAAATTAGCGTTCGTTTGTACGTGAAGCTAACAAAATGGCGGATGCTGGTGTGATTAAAAATGCTCTTTGGCAAAGGTGTGCATTTGTGTGTGTTTCCCTTTCCCAAAAGCTGATCACGACATGTCGACCATCTCTCTGTTCTATAGCTACTCTTTTATTCTATTGCTGTTTTGCATTAATCTGTTTTAGAGTCGGTTTCACGTGTGTAAGTCACTTCTTCTCCGGTAGCCAGTCCGACACTATGCTTTTATTTTTCTGCCTTCGGTTATTTCGGTGTGCTGGTGTACATTTTTGAGCTAATTAACACCATAGCCGACTCTTTCGTCGGGATTTAGGGAGGGGGGGGGGGGGGTACCCCAGCATCCCTCATCACTATTTACTCCTCTGCATCCCTCTCCGCAACCGTGGGGGAGAGTGAAAGCAAAAAGATGTACAGTACCACAGGAAGGTGGTGCTGGTTGCCTTGTAAAGGGTTTAGATGGATTGGTGGCGAAAAAACACAATCTCTGAAATTGCGTGTGAATGTTAAGTCATGCTGTCACAGATCCCGACATGCAATCGAGACAATGTGTAATGCGTTTGAAAAAAAATAAGCCCCATTTGTCATGGGATACATTCGAGACCAACTTTCCATTGATGATTTGCGACACAGAGTCACATTGAAAGTGGTTTTACCCACATTTGAATGTATAAAAACCCATGCAAACCAATTTGAATACACATTTAAAGTGGTCCTTAAAATTTTCATGGAGCTTTTTCACTCAGCTTGCACAATACTCAGAAAAAGACACACAAGCATGATTGCTTGAAGCTGTTTGTAACCCCAGTCGAAGTATACTGTTTAACTAACTCCGAAAATAAAATTGAATTAAACATTGTATATGTAATCACCAAATTGTTAAACCAAGCCTTACAAAGGTCCGCTAACTTAATGCAAATTTTTCACATCAAAATCCCATAGATTGGCTAATGGATGTTTCAGTATTGGTAAGGTTTCACATAGTTGCTTCTTAACACATGAAGGGAAGCAACACATGCAAATAGAGCAAACTGTGATCCTCACAGCCAGGCATATAGTCAATGTGTTCTGTGGGAACGACAACGATGATTCAACCTCACTTGGGTGCTTTCTCTGCCTCCGCTATTTGCTCTTAATTATGCAGCATCTCGTCCAGTAAGAATCGGTGCTACCCGGCATGTTGCAGCACTATTCCTGAAGGCGCGATGAATTCAGACTTCCCTGTATTATGTTCAAATTTGCATTGTCATGCTGATGCAAACCTTGAACTGTGGTATAGTGGGGGTTTCCTGTACATCACAGCATATAATAGAAAATCCCAAAGACATTGTAACATGGAAAGAAATGGTTGAATAACAAATTTCGGGGAACGGATTATCCCTTGATACTATTACCCGTAGTGTGGAAGACTAAATTTCTTTTATCATTTGTTTTCAGCGCTCCAGTAACAAATGCAGTGCGAGGACAATGGATGAGGAGGTCACCAGGCTTTCAATACCTTCTGAAGAGCCTAAAATTATATTACACGGATCGGGTAATGAGCCATGCTTGTATGACTGCTTGTTTATGACAGACAGAATGTTGATGTCATATAGTAGAGGGTATTGGGGTATTTGAAGAAGCAGGATGCTTAATTTAGCCAGATAATTTTGACCCTAAGAGTTTATGGTGATGCATGCATGACAGTCAGCCATCCAATCCACTGGATCTTTATTTTGAATAAACAAATGCTCTGCATGCTTATCTGGCTAACTGGGTAATCCTGCTTCTTCCAGATGAGGGTGGTGCCGGCGGGCAGGAGTTTGTTGTGGAGCTTCAAGAGACTTTGTTGGTGTCAGAGGGCGAGGGTGAAGGCATGGCGGTGCACAGGTTTGCCCCAGACGAGCTAGTCATCCAGGATGCAGTTGAGGATGTGGTATCTGAGTATGTGCACTGCGATGAAGATGAAGATGTCGCTGTAGAAACCTGCGTGATGGCCTTGGATGGTGAGGAGGAAGGCGTTGCCATGGGTGACATCCCCGAAGACGGCCTGGACCCTGAGCAGCAGGATGATGACCAAGATAACTGCGGCGATTATCTGATGATATCATGTAAGTCAACTCTTTGTTGTCATAATCTTGCTTTGTGTCATGATGTCATGATTTTCAGATCAGAACTGCTAGCATCCAGGGTCCATACTCATGTATGGAGGTAGATTTTATGCGTTTACAGGTCTGGAAAATGGAAAATAAGAAAATAATACAGTAGATAAAATTGATCTTGTTTTTCCAAGTCACTTGGTTTATAAGAATATTTTGCGAGGCTTCGGGCCTGTTGTGGGAAATTGGGGTCAGAAAACAAAGAAAATCTTTCGTGCTGCTTCCAAATATTCCCTTTTCATTAAAACAAAAAATATCACTCCAGCTATTACGTTAGAAGGGCTAATAAAGTGTCCCCATGATTTTTAAAAAATTTTTTTTATCCCCGCATCTCTTTGTCCCTCTCACCAGTGGATGAAGCTGGCAAAATGGTGTCTGAGGATGGGACAGAGGTAACGGTGGAGGGAGCAGTGGAGGACCAGGAAGTGGAGAAGGATGAGGATGGACAGGAAGTGATAAAGGTGTACATTTTCAAAGCCGACTCTGGGGAGGATGACATGGGTAAGAGCAAGTATGAAAACCAGACAATTCAAACTAAAACGTGTACCCATGCACGGTCTTTCTGAAATGTATCGCAAACAAAGAAGAGGCTGTGTGTCTAGTTTTATTTTTTATTTTGTCTTCCAGGAGAATCCGTTGACATCAGCGATGGGGACATGGAGAATGTTGCCCTGACAGATTCGGGCCAAACGCTTCGAGAAAAGATGGTTTACATGTCCGTCGGCGATTCTCATCACCAAGAAAACCATGGTGAGTGATTTAGTGCAGCCAAACTTTGCAGGCCTGGGAAAACCTCACTTCACTTTGCGTTCTCGCTATTTGACTTGATTTTATTTCTTCTTCTGTCTGTGCCAGTGGCGTGTAATGAAAGTAAGAACAATGAACTGATCTTCCACTAAATGGCAAAAGAGGTGACCTCTTGCCATATAACTGAGTAATAGCTTTGTGTTCACCCAAACAAGTTACAGAGCTTCATGACAAAGCCTTTAACACTTTAATTTGATGAAGTATGGGTGATTTCAACAATCAATTATGAATATCATTCTATCTGCTATGCCCATCATCATTTTTTTGTAGTTTTGGGACTGATGCAGTTTGTTTGAGGTGAAAGGAGTTTGTTACATTTTGAAGGGTGACCGCTTGGGGTTTCTCAGGTTTTATAAATCTTCGAGCCATACCGGAAGTGAATGAATCAACCGCACGTGAGATGCCAGTTGTACTGATTTCTTGTTATCGAAGTCATGATTTTGTCCTCACAGATGTGGAGGATAGCGAGAGCTGTGAAAACAGGAACGGAGCTGCAAGCGCGCTCCTGCACATCGACGAATCGGATGGTGTTGACGAAATAGGCCGGCAGCGCAACAAGACCAAGCGGCGATTCGAACCGCGACAAGTCCAAACAGGTACAGTCGACCCTGACAGATGGTCGCGCTGGGAACACGTTGAAATTCAAATCGTACAATTTCAGTGTGGTTGTATTTTTCTTTCACTTAATCGCTCGCATTGTATATGTTTAGAGGCCCAATCCAATGTATTCTGTAACCATCAGTCATCTTTCATATATCTGGGTCTGGATAATGCGGCACAAAGTAGATTAACCCAGACTCATACGCCAGAAAGAGCTAGTTATATGCTTCTCTCAGATTAGTCAAAAATGTACTTGATGTTGCTCTTACTTCTGTTTGCCAGCCATCATCATCGGTCCCTATGGTCAACCTCTGACAGTGTATCCCTGCATGCTTTGTGGCAAAAAGTTCAAATCGCGCGGATTCCTGAAGCGGCACACAAAGAATCATCACCAGGAGGTTTTGACCCGAAAAAAGTACCAGTGCACAGACTGTGATTTCACCACCAACAAGAAAGCCAGCCTCCACAACCACATGGAGGTGCACGCCCTGAGCAGCAAGGCCCCCTTCGAGTGCGAAATGTGCGGCAAGGAGTTCCACCAGCAGGCGGCGCTGTTCTCCCACAGACTGCAGCACCACCAACGGGACGCCAAGAGTAAGCAGACGCCTCCGCAGCCACCCGCCAAGACCCACAAGTGCAAGTTCTGTGAGTATGAAACTGCTGAGCAAGGACTGCTCAACCGACACTTGTTGGCCGTTCACAGTAAAAGCTTCCCGCACATCTGTGTGGAATGCGGGAAAGGTTTCCGTCACCCCTCCGAGTTGAAGAAACACATGCGTACGCATACAGGCGAGAAACCTTACTCGTGCATGTACTGCGAATACAAGTCAGCCGACTCGTCCAACCTCAAGACTCATATCAAGACAAAGCATAGCAAGGAGATGCCATACAAGTGCGAGCGCTGTTTCCAGACATTTGCGGAGGAGGAGGAGTTAAACCAGCACGAACTGACACACGAGGAAAATAAGACCCACCATTGTGCCCACTGTGACCACAAAAGTTCCAATTCCAGCGACCTGAAACGCCACATCATATCCGTGCACACCAAGGACTACCCGCACAAATGTGCCGTTTGCGGCAAAGGCTTCCACCGGCCGTCCGAGCTCAAGAAGCACTCGGTGGCGCATCGCACCAAGAAACTCCACCAGTGCCGACACTGCAACTTCAAAAACGCCGACCCCTTTGTCCTCAGTCGCCATATCTTGTCTGTCCATACCAAGGAACAGCAGCAGGCCTCCCCCGAAAAGAGCGAGGCCAAGAGGACAGAGACACACTCTCCCGCGGCGTCCCCCAAAAAGTCGGCCCCGAGCGCATCCTCCGGTTCCGGCCCGCCGACTAGAGTGAGTGCAGCCAGTTTAGCGAGCAGCGTGACGGTCGTTATCGGCAAAGGACAAAAAGAACGCCGAATCTACCAGTGCCAGTACTGCGACTACAGCACAGGCGACGCGTCGGGATTCAAGCGGCACGTGATTTCGATCCACACAAAGGACTACCCGCACCGCTGCGAGATCTGTTCGAAAGGCTTCCGGCGACCGTCGGAGAAGAACCAGCATATCCTGCGCCACCACAAAGACGTGGTTCAAGCAGAGTGACGGGACGGACCACCAAACCCTCAGCACTGCACCACTCACATGAAACTATGTGGAGCGTCTGCTGCACTTAGCCTATCCTTTTCTTTACAGTGAACCCCCCTTTAGCATCAATGCATTCCAAGAGATGAAAATCTGTGATTTCTCTTTTTTTTTTCAGGGTTATTATTTTCTTAACAAACAAGCAATCAATTGTTAATCTGTATTACAATAAACACAATCAGATTTGTTATACATAAATAGTTTGCCTTTGTAGATTAGGTTTACGGTAAAATAATGTCAAACGATTCATCGATTAATATGAAAGACAGTTTGACTTGCAGTCTTTTCAGCATTCACTGCAACAACTTCACGGCTTCATACCAAACACGTGGTATAAACATAAGTCAGATTCAACAAGAATGCAAGCAAATCTGTGGCTTTATCACTTAATCTTTTCATTTTTCCTGAAATAATGTAAACGCAAGGACGCCAAGACTGCACTTCTCAGCAATTACTTTATCTAGACACATTCTAGGAAAATTAAGTATGTATATAAAAAAAAAAACCAAATGACCAAAATTAAGTTTGAAAGTAAACAAGAAGCTGTAGCGTCCAATGATGGGGGGGGAAAAAATAAATTGGTTCACTTCTGTCCCGCTTAAATTCCAAGCGCCAACTCTCAGGTCCAATAATACGCATCTGCGCTCCACGCCAACGTTCCAGCATCCACCCAGCCGTACCAATTCACACTGTCCAACATCGCCGACATCTCCGCTGAACAAAACGAGGCTGTGAAAAAATGCTTCCCATTACAGGCGCAAAAGACACAAGCACCCCGGGGCCGTCGACAGGTGACAGTCAAATAGCGCAGACATTCCTCCCCATCAGAATCAGTGCTGGTACACGTGCGCTGAGAACTCGCAACCATCAGGCACAGATTCTTTTCCTTCGACGAATGTCGTGGCCAAAACGCTCTCGCAGACGGCTGCCAACTACGGCGCCATCAAAATGATTAAACACTAAAATAGTCATTCAAATCCTGTTTTCCACTATCTTGATGCTAGCATATTAGCGTGAAACGCCATACATGGCTGACATTTAACGTAAATGTTACAGTAATTGCATACCTTCAAACAAATGGTGCTTTTCCACCTTGCCTGTATAAAAACCCACAAACGATTGCTGAAAAATTCCCGATGTAGCAGAGGCATGAATTCTCATCGCAATAAAGCGGGGGTTCACTGTATTTGTCTTTTACAGCCTCACCCTCCCGTCTCTCCGCATGTATACACATGTACATAACGCCAACACCGTTGGGGAGCAGCAGAACTTTCTGTATGTAGACCTTGCACTTTTTACTGCATGTTCCATGCTGAGGAGTGGGGAAGCTTGCATGGCAGATAGTGCAAATGTCCGTTTTTTTGATACGCTTCTTTTTTCATTTTGCAGACTGCAATCAGAAAGGTCCTCATTTCATGTCTCCAAAGCCGAGTGTAAAGTCTGTCTCCGAGAGTCCCGTTGTACTGAAACAGAGCTGTGTGGATTAGGAACATGTTTGCTGTAGCGCTTGACACCTGGGCAAAGGTAAAGGCATTTATTGAAAGGTGTGTGCCAATTATGTGTGATTGACTTCCAAGTATTTGATGTGCATCCTGCTGCTGGAACATCCATTTCGAGATCACGGTGGCCCTGTGTGTTGTGACAAATAGCCAAGGCTATATGTGAAAAGCGCACAGGTGAGGAACAAACAAATCATTCTGAGATTGGGAAACTTGGGACATTCGTAGTTCAGTGAAAATTCTCCCAATTGCCACCAGTTCCTGACCCCGCCTGAGTCATTGTGCATCGAAAAATGCCGCAAATCAGGAGGCAACATTCACCAGACAGTATTTTTTTTTTTTTTACACACACCAGAGAGAATAGTCCCTGTAAATTAAAAATGCCTAAATAGTCTTGACTCATAAATTATTTTTGAAGAAGCCTTTTTTTTTTGTCAAGTTGTCTGAGCAAACCGGAGCATACGTTTGCAGAAATAGCCTATTTATTCTCTGCAGGCTAAGAAAACATCTTCACAGTGGCCCACTTCATATCAATAGAGGATGCTATGTGTTGCTGCCAACTATAAATGGACTCTCTGTTTTCAACACGCGTTGCTCTTACCAGAAGGGAAAAAAATGTAAATGTTTTTAGAAGCAACTTCGGAAGACAGGTGCTTGTGGTGTACTTTTTACATTTTTCCTTGGTCCTCCGGGACGTCCCCCCCCCCCCCCACCCCACTCCACCCTGTGATTTGTCTTTATATTTATTTCATTTACAAGTTGTTGTATAGTTCTGTGTAACTAGACTTCTATGGGACGTAAATTATTGTTTTGTATACAAATCTGTATAAAGCGTGTAGATGTAAACACTTGATGAAAGTGGGCTGTGTCATTCTGGATGTGTCGTGTTTGTTAAAAAAAACATCAAAAGATAATAAAAAAAAGGATTTTAGCTCTTTGACCTTTATTAGCATACATTTGTAAACTTTTTGTTTGTCTTGACAGCATTGTTGAGGCTGGCAGGAAGCTAGGCAGCTGTGCACTCACCTAAACGAGGCAAAATAGTGATATTCAATCTGTCGTCATCATTTTACACATCTATCTTTAACGTTGGTCATAACAGTACCGTTTGGGGGAAAGAATGCAATGTTTTCAGCTCGGAGTCCAGTTTCCAGGGAGAACTGCCTGAACTTCTCCATCAGATCTGGGCTGAGATCCACTCCGCGGCCTGTGCAACACCATCAGGTTCGTTGACCACTCCGAAGGTTGAACTGTTACAAACTCTAAAATCAAGGGCGTTACCGTAGAGCTTGTTGACCACGGTGGGATGATCTCCGTCCGTCTTAACAGTATGAGTCAGGGCGTACTGGTCGTACTTGACGTCCACCACGCGCATGTCATTCTCATTGCCCCAACCTGATGGAGAGAGGTGGGCGGATCTCAGGAAGGCAGAACCACTTGGATTGTTACGATTGATACATGCCGACTTGTTATTTTAGTGTAACACGCGACCAGTTTATGAGATACACCTGCACATGCCACAGTATAATGGGATCCAATACCGTTCCTCCCTCATAAACGGAGATCTACATTTCAACCTATCCTTCAATTACTGTTTAAAATGTCAATTCAAATCCCGTTTTCATTGTAACTATGTAACTCTTGTCGCTGCATTTTTTTTGTTTGTGTACACTCACTTGTGTATGTGAACCTTCCAGGCATGTCGGTCTTCTTGGCCAGGTTGTTCATTCTCCAACATGTTCCATCGGATCTGCACAGAAACCCGTGGTGAGCAATTCCGCACCGCCAAAGTCCTTTTCCCCATCTGTCTTGCTCACTTTAGACTGGCATACGAAATATCCAGGTCGCCGTCTGCAGTTGGGCGGAGCATGGCAGTGCCCATTTTCATGCTGCCGCGGTGTTGGATGAACCATTGGCCGTTAGAGGCAAAACCGATCAGGTACCACTTCCCTGCCATCTGTGGACAGAAGCAAGATATCCCAAACACTGTTATTTACATGCAAAAATGAGACAAAAATCACCTTTTTGCCCAGTCGAGATGTCTTACCCCCTGCACGTTGAAGTCAGCTGGGGGTATGACTTCTGCGGACGTCCTGATGGAGGCCAGCGCAGCCACCAAAACTGTCACCAGAAAGACCATAGTAGCCGCAAAGCAAGGGAGGACGAAGAGCAGAACGTCTACTGGTAATGCTCTGCCTGCCTGACATCTCTTTATATAGTGGAGGGCTCACTTTCTCTCCCCTGCAAGCACACTCCTACACAAAATGATAGCTGGGATGAGTCCAAACATGTTGGCGCAGCCACACGTTATACCCTACCGCGCTTAGAATTCAGCATAATGTGCTTAAGAGTAACATGGGTGTTCGTCGAATGTGTCACATTGCATATTTCATAATAGTAAGAGTTAGTTGGACTAAAAACGGAGAACAAAACGGCGGCTCCTCTCTGGTGTATTCCAGAGCAGAGAGCGCAGAATTAAATTCAACTGTCAGCAGTTACAACACAAACAACTCGACACATGAGAAACCGCATTCTCATGTGCTACTCTGGCAATGCTTTTGCCACCGCATTCAGCCTGATATTGCACCGATTTTTGAAGTTGACTTTAAAACAATGCATCATGATGCAAATCTCACCCTAAACAAGCACATTTCTTTTGAGTTTAAAGTTCAAAAAACGTTTTGCCAGATCTCTGCAAAGCATTGACAGAAGTCTAGATTGACTGTAAACTGCAAGTCGGCTTTAGAATGGGAAAAGTGAGTGTTGACTGAGTGATTTTAACTATATCCTATAAGCGCTGCACTATGGTAAAGCAAATATAAGGCCAAGGGGCTTTCAACTTCCCAGGAGGATCTTTGCACAGAATCCACACATACCGTGCCAGTTAAAACAGGTTAAACCATTAACCCTGAGGGCAAATGTAATTAATGTAAAGTCACGTTTTGCAGTATATTTTCACACTCACACTAGATTGTCATTTAGTTTCAGTGTGAGTAAGTTCAGGAAGCTAACTTGGAATTTCTTACTCTGGTTCATTACCTGGGAATGACTTAATCGCCCAATTTAATGGAAATATGCACACTGACAGAACCACGGCAGCTCAAGGGGCTTTGGCGAGACAGAAAGTCTCAATACAAACACTTGTGGGTCCTAAACTTCTTTTGAAATGAAATCATGAACATGAATGTAATGCATCATTCTCAGCATCCAATCAGATTGTGCGATTAAGTCAAAGCAAAAACTATCATCAGTTGAACACTGCCCTCTATAGGCTGATTATCGATACTTCATTTTACAATAAGACGTATTATTTTCAGTCTCCGGTTTGTAATATACAGTATTACAAAATATAATATTCCAAAACATTTTGTGTATATTTTCCTATCGGTCCCCTTGTAAAGCACCAGTGAGGTGATAAATCTGAAAACCACACACCCAGGCCAAAACATTCAGGACGTCTGAGATCAAATACTGTCAATAGTGTTTGACAATACAGTAGATTTATTATTGTGTTTGTGGGATTGAACTGCACATCATCCAGAGAGGTTTTTCTGGTCTGTACCCCCCCCCCCCCACCCCCCTGTCTTGTACATCAGCCAAACTATGACCATTTAACTCAAGAAGCCTACATTCATTCGCTTGGTGATAAAAAAATGATGCATTGATGGCAAAAAGCGTGCATTGACTTGGGCATTACATGAAGACAACCTATTGATTTAAACAGCTTGCTCCACCCACCGTATGCATTATGAAAAGGTGAAAGAGCACATTAAATATGATACTCAGAATGGTCAGACCTTCATTAACATATTAATAATTTAAAGTACATATTTACGCCATGATCGCAAAAACAGTCGCCGGAGAGCTTTTTATTTTGCACACGTTAAATACATGGGCAGTAACGGTTCAATCAGGAAGGCATGTAAGATCCATATTTTGTTTGAGACGTCCAGTATCCATCAACAACAAAACAGAAAGCGCCATTTCCTGTTTTAGAAGTACATGAGCTCCACTCTGTGAATGTTGAGCTGCATCCAAGGATGCGAAACTAGACCAAGTGGGGGGCGCCGGATCGAGGACATGTCGAGGCATCAGCCATAGTGAGGAAGTCAACCCAGTTCTGGTAGAAGCCTCGCGAATACGTTCCCGTGGCGACGGCGAGCCCCCACAGGCGACTTTGGCCCGTTTTGTTCCTCAGGGCCAGCTGGGCCTCCCGCTCAGTCACGTTGAAGCTGATATTCACCACCTGTGCCACCAGTAGGTACAGCAGCCCCCCAGTGACGATGACGCTGTACCAGGCACAGGTGAAGCAGAGCGCTGAGCTACAACATACCGACAGAGAGGGACATAAAATTGTGCTGCGGTTAAAAATAGTGGCAACCCTATGCATTACATCATCAGAGAAACTCATTCCTTCTTGGGCACATGCGGAGACGTTTTCAGAAGCAGGGTGCTCATGGTAAAAAAAAGGGATCACGTCGCCAAAATTATTCTTAAAATGTATTGGGGGAAAAAAAACTGTAATGTATTTTTAGCTAATCTTTTTAGTCAATAAAACAAACTGAGATGACATGATTGCATAAGTGCACACACCCTCTTCTACATGGTGATGTGGCCATCTTATGAATGAAGCAATTACGTCCAAACTCGTATTTAGTGGCGGTTCTGCACACACGTGCCAGCATTTAAAGTGTCTCTGTAACCTTAAATATATTAAAGTGGGTGGATAAGTACAATTCTCCTGAAGGTGCACGGTATATTCTGGAGTCAGGTGTTTGGGATGAGGACAATCGCTCCCGCTCCCTGTATGAGCAGTACAAACAATCGGTTGACTTGTTCACTTCGAGTTTGGTTTTGGCGTGCATACCTGGACTGAGAGTAGACGCCCGGGCAGTAGAAGAGCGCGCTGACTAGATACTGTTGAGGACACAGGCTGCGCAGCACCAAAGTGATCCCGTACAAAGATGTTAGCAGAAACACACACAGGGTCAACAGGAAGCTGCGGTGGTTACCTTGCCCTACACAACTGTTTATCCTACAACATAGTGCACACACATTGACGTTTCGCATTAAAACCTTGTGTGGTAGGCGCCAACATTTAAGGACTCATATAAAGTTTAAATGTTTCAAAAGCTTGAAAGGCAAATCTTTGATCCGTTATATTATACTACATTTAATACATCTAAAATTGTCAATTAGCAAAATGTGTTGTCGGTAAAATATACTGTCAAATAGACTTGCATCAATAAAAAGTGCTTAAAATGATAACTTCTTTCATGAGAAATCTATCGCTTATTGGACTGAGCAGGTCACTTGGTAAGTGGACAAATAAAGTAAAGTTGTGCTCGCTGTGCTATTGCAAAATAATATGGTCAGTTTATTGTGCAACACAATCTTTTGCATGCGCTTGAATTAGACTGGAGAAGAATTGTCGGAATCTTGGTTCATATCAGTTTTCTATTGGAAATAGAACGTCACACACCAGACACAGTGGTGGTCCAGGCGTTGAACACAAACTCCACACGTTCCACAATGTCCCGCCCGTGGAGGTCGTGCAATTTTGCACACAGGACACCTGCTCCATTTATCACTTGGTCTCGATCCTGAGAAAGAGGACGATGCCTCTGTCTGGACGGACTCACTGAGAGCTGGTGAACCCTTGCCGTCCACCTCACGTGCTGCAGTACTAACAAATCCCGGGCTCCTCTTGGTCCGAACCAGAGACGCAATGGTGAAAATCATCCCCGCGGTCACGGTACACAGCTGCAATCGACTCACGTCCCCGCGAGGTACAATCTCAGTGATGAAGAGATAGTACATGTAGGCCAGAGAGTAGAGCGCCAGTGTGAGAAAGAATAGCGTGCGTCTCTTTCTCTTGTGAGTGGCGTAGTAGAGCCAGAGCACCAGCCCGGGCAGAGCTGTCAAGATCATGATACCCAGCAGGTAGTGCAGCGCCGCGACACGCATCAGCAGAGGCAGTAAAACCAGCGCAGGGACCAGGGAGATCTCCAAGTTGTCAATCAAGGCCCCCAGTAGAAATGAATGACATCCACTCTTTGGTGCCTTGTCCCTCAGCCATCTACGATAGATAGGGACAGACGAAGCAATGGATGTGGAGTTATATGTTAGCGAGATGAGTGTTTGCATGGACAGAAACATGAATGGAAAGAGAAATGGGACAGAGGATGGATGGCTGGACGAACGGATGACAGACAGATGGCCATACGAAGGGACGAGGGCACCAGTGGGTGGATGGATAGACGGCTATTGGCTGGATAAAAGGACTGATGGATGTTGAATGGATGGATGGATGCATAGATAGATGAATGGACACATGTTGGATGGATAAGTAGATGATCGATGGAGATGACGAATGAATGTTGGTGATCAGATAGATCTTAAGATTGCATTCACAAAATGGAGTATCCATCCATAAATGTCATCACATTGTTGGATATGAAGTTTAGGTAGACCGCCGTACCTGTTGAAGGCCTCATCCAGATCCTCACAGTCACAGCAACAGCCGTACTGGAATACGTCACATTCACAGCAACACATGGGATCATCCGGTTCTGGCGGTTTTAACTTTTCCCATTTCATCGCGGCTTACGTTGACCTACACGCGCACAAACACAACCCCCAAATCTTTCACTTCAGGACATTTTTTTGTAATCACATTCTTGAGAGTGTATTTAGCATTCCCGTATTGCAAAGTACATTATATTGCAGCCTAATTTATTGGAGTCCCACAGGGTGTCTAAAAAAAAAAATTAATAACTTCTATTATCAGCCTTTGGGGCTTTCAATGTAATTTGTTGAAACAAGGCCATTGTGTCCATAGAGACAAACTCTCTGGGCCTATCAAATACGCAACTGTATTGCAACTTGAGCTATTGTCCAACGACTAATTTATTCTTTCATATTTCATATCATTCAACATAAATGTAAAATATGATCATCTTTCAATGTGTCAATCGAAATGAGCATTCGTATCTTAGTATCGGCAGACGTTTTGATACTAATCTTGTATTAATTAGCCAGTGCTGGTATTGTGGCCGCGCAGTGTATTCATGATCTAATCAAGTTTGCGCTCAACCCAGATGTTTTTTTTTTTTTTTAATTGTAATCATTATTACCTATGCAGGCTGACAGATCATTCTTCTATTTCTGTTTGTCCACCTGCAAAGCCAGGATAAACATATTATCAATTTTTAACTTACCTTTTATCTCCACACAGAAAATCAGAGCAGAAAGATGAGTAGAAAGGTCTCTCGACTAAAGCTTCAGCTCTTGAATGAGTGAATGAAGTGCTGCTGGTTTGTGGTTAAAAAAAGAAAAGACAAAAAAAAAAATAAAATCGAAAAGTTGTCACGTCTCTGCTGTGGTGCCTCCGTGTCAAAGCAATGAGATGGTTGCCATTTCTAGCATTCCTCCGGGGTACAAGCATCGCAAATGTCCTTGTTTCTTCACATAGGCAACGAAAAGTGATATTTGAGTGAAGTTTTGCCGTAGTCACCCTTTCGGGTCTGAATTAAAAACTTTGTCTGTGGGAGCCTTGTTGTTGAGATGGTCAGCAGCCTTGGTAGATCCGCACTGAAGGACAAAGCCGCATAAGATTAGCGACATGACAAGCCGGGTAGTAGATGGACGTAGAGTGAAGCGGAGTGGAGTGATGTGATGTGATGATCCACAGGGCAGCTCCACCCTCTGGGATCACATTTCCTCCCCAACACAAGCAACCTGACCTTGCCGCTTGCTCACAGAAAACTCTGGAAGACTTTGTTTGTGCCGACTCCACTTGTTGTTCTGATATTTACGTCTTTGCATTCCACTTTGTGTAACGTCGTAATCGACAATATTGTAAGGGCCGTAAACGATTCTTTTACAGCATTTTTATTAGAAAACACATGTAGAACAAACAAAATATATCGGTTTATAAAGTGGCAGATTTATAGTGTGAACTTCCCTTACAGAAAACTTTTTTTCGTATTTTGTAGCCTTTTTTTGTGTGTGATTTATTAATTGGATGGGAATGACATTAAAAGAAAGTCAGACAAAGCCTTTGAGAACAGCTGAACTTTATTCTGACTTAATCAGAGGCTATTTAAATGGTAGTCATGCATACTGACTCCCGTTCATGAGTTTGAATGTGATTAGTTAGTTCTGAACACAGCCACGTCCCAACTTAAAGATGGATGTGCACTGCTTTTTTTTTTTTTTTTAACTTCCCCTCTTGAAAAAAAATACATTTTTTTTATATTGCATTTGAACAAGGACGTGTCAGCTTCTCATATCCACTCTGTGCGACAGTGTTGATGATCCACTAAAAACGCAGTGGAACCTCCAAAGTTGAACACACCTGCTTACCTTGAGTGAAACTAAGTCAAAGCAAAGTTGCTTACCAATTGAAGACACACACAATAAGGAAAGGAACAGTGCTCAGTCTGGTGGCACGGTTTCAAAGTGGTTAGCGCGGCCACCTCACAGTTCTGAGGTCGGGCGTCAAGTCTGGGTTCTGGCGTTCCTGTGTGGCGTTGACATGATGTTCTTGCGCCTGCGTGGGTGAATGAGCGTAAATGTTTATGTGCGCCTTGCATTTTAATAGACTCCAGCTCCCCTCTGACCCCGATGAGGATAAGCGCTATCGGAAATGGATGGATGGCAATCCACGATTTACTAGCAATCTGCTATGGACTGTAAATTGCAGTTAGGTGATGTCAGGACAGCAACTGCAATAGAGCGAATACCAGGACACGCCCTCATTTTTTTTTTTCTTTCAATGTATCACTGAATATCAGAACATCATCTAAAACGGGGCCACGTGCATTACGAGATGAAGGCCCGAGTCTTATGAGGTCACTGAAACCTTTTTAATGTCCGTGAGTGTGAGTCTGGATGGTCTCAATCAATGCGGCGCAAAGCTGCTGCTCTAGCTCCTGTGGCTTTGTGCCTCCATTAGTCTTGATGGAGGCCGGAACTGGAGATACGCAGGCCGCCTCTAATCTATTTTGAAGGAATTACTGCCGCAATTTGAACGAGCGAGCGTGTGACGAGTGCATGAACGCACCACAAAGATGTACGGTATGCAAGGAGTCGGGGGTGGTGCGAGGGTCTTGTAAAAACTGTGACCTCATCATTTTGGAGAATGTTTCTGGGTCTTCATTATTATATAGGGTCAAGGAGTCCTACTTTTTTGTTAAAAAAAAAAAAAAAAAAAAAAGTCGGCAACAAATGAATCAAACTCGACAGAATGTATTGCCCAGTTATTTTATTTCATGATACGCACTTGACTTTACACAGACGTCTGTTTTGCTACAGCACAATTCCTAATACACTCATTCATTCACATTTTACACGTAATATCAAGTATATAGTCCACAAAATCACATTGTCATCAGACTTTGGAGGTTAAGATGTGGAAGATCGGTCCGCCTTCCCTCCAGACAACACTATGTCCCTTAAGTCGTGTGCGTGTTCCCAGTAAATTCCCTCTTCTTTGCAGCAGCACTTGACTGTTTTGAACTGAAACATAGCGATGGATAAATAAATATGTACTGACTGGCCCTTTTTACAGTCGAGGTAAATCAAAAGGATGAAATGTAAAACGTGCGCACGTAATGGAATGCTTACACGGGAGAGGTAAACACAAAGGAGTTTACGTGACATTCAGAAATAGGACCGTTTAATCTCTACGAGACTGCACCACCAAAAATGGGGTTGAGAAATTGGGTGGAGGGGGTGGGGGGCGCTTAAGGGTTGAAAAACTCATTCCTCCAAGGTCCGGAACGCATTCTGCATGTCCTCCAGCAGTTGTGCGTAGTCTGCTTTTATCTTCGCTTCACCATCCTTGACTGGGTCCTGAGGTGTCCATTGTTGAGAGAGAGGAATACAAAAAGTACAAGTGCATTCCAATTAATGTAATTATCGTGGAATATGGTCTCTTTTTCCCGCCATTTTGCTGTGTCGATACAATGAGCCGTACCTTAAACTTCATAGAGCTGATCTTGTACAAGATCTCGCCCAGGTGCTCCCTGATCATGGCCCAGGTGATTTTGTTGTCACTCTGAGCCGTGGACTCGACGGCGTGCCGCGACATGTCGTAAAACGCGATCATGTTTGAGAGGATGCCGACCGTTTTGTAAAAGGGGCAGAACCTGTTGGTGGGTGCGGGAGGAGATAAGTGTGAGATGAAGTCCAAAACTTTAATATGAGGCATGCGATGCTTTTGTTCTCCACCTGTCGTAAGGCGTGTAACCGTTCTGCTGCAGGAAGTCATCTTTGATGAGCTTCGCGACTTCCAGCGTGATCTTGTCTGTCTCGGCTAGAGAAGCCTGAGGACAAAACGTAACCAAAGATGGCGTAAGTAATTTGTCCTTGTCATGTGTGGGGCCTCTCACTTTTTCAAAACCTGTTGAGACTTTAAAAATGATTTTTGTGTGTCTCTTTTCAGCTTTCAAAATCATCTTTTTCCTCACCTTTCCTACAAGCTGCACTATCTCAGCCAGGTCTTCTTCCTCCTGGAGAATCTCCTTGGCTTTCGTCCGAAGAGGCACAAACTCAGGGAAGTGTTTATCGTAGTATTCATCCAGCGCCCGAGTGTACTTGCTGTAGCTAATCAACCAGTTCACGGATGGGAAGTGTTTCCTCTGAGCCAACTTCTTGTCCAGTCCCCAGAACACCTGCAAGGGCGCAAATGCAAGTTAGTGTCATCAAGAATTGTGTCTCGTGAATCAGTGCATAGTGAACTACTAGCCACCACTTGCCTGGACTATGCCCAATGTAGCTGATGTGACGGGATCTGAAAAGTCTCCACCGGGGGGTGACACACTAGAAAAGTGAACCCGATAATTAATCATGTGTCGCATCATAAGACTTATTTGCATCTTTTGAAAATGAAAGCCAGCTTACGCTCCTACGATGCTGACACTGCCTTCTCGCTCGGGGTTCCCCAGACATTTGACGCGTCCCGCTCGCTCGTAGAAGGAGGCGAGCCTGGCGCCCAGGTAGGCCGGGTATCCGCTGTCTACACACACCATGACACCAAAGTCACCGTTCACAAATGGGCATCTCCTCTCTCGTCTGTGTTTGGGTCATAAAACGTGAACTCACCGGCGGGCATTTCGGCTAATCGGCCAGAGATTTCTCTCAGAGCTTCGGCCCATCGCGACGTCGAGTCGGCCATCATGCTCACGTTGTAACCCATATCCCTGAAGTATTCAGACAGTGTGATCCCTGCCCAAGTGATCAGGAAATAAACATGAGCACCGAGGACAGTCGTGGACGATGACAATTTTATTTTGGTACCTGTGTAGATCGAAGCCTCTCTGGCAGCCACGGGCATGTTGGATGTGTTGGCAACAAGTGCCGTTCGCTTCATGATGCTCTCAACTTTGCCGCCTACTTCCATTGTGAGCTGTTGGGCAGGATCGGTACAAAATTGTGATGGCTTGAGTTACAAATTCAGTTTGAATTAAATCAATTCGCGGTCTCGCACCAACCTCTGGGAAATCTCGCAGCACCTCCGACATTTCATTCCCACGTTCTCCACAGCCAACGTAGATGATAACATCACTGTTGGAGTATTTGGACAATGACTGGGAGATGACGGTCTTTCCACAGCCAAAGGCACCTGGTATAGCTGTGGTGCCGCCTTGCACGCAGCTGTTAAGTGCAACAGGCACATTAGTTTTATATGTTTAGCACAAAAGCTAAATGTTTGCTTCATTTTGAAAAAGCCTCACGGGAAAAGTGCATCCAAGACTCTCTGACCAGTGAGCAGAGGATGATTGGCAGGCAGTTTTTCGGTGACTGGGCGGACCTGTCGCACCGGCCATACCTGCACCATGGTAAACTTCTCCTTGATGCCTTCAAAATCCAGTTCAAGAACCACATCCTGAATGTAAAAGTGAAAAAAAAAAACTTTCTAATTTCTAATCAAACACAAACGACAAAATAACTTATGGAGGAGAAAAAAAAAGACTTGCAGAGACGTCGTAGTTTCCGGGCGGCGCCACGTAAGTGACTGTGCCCCTGCTGCGAGGCGGAAGCATCAGTTTGTGCTGTATCAAGGAGTTCTCAAACACCATGCCGTAGATGTCACCACCTGTAATGTGACTGCCAACCTACAAGAGGTGGCATGTAATGAATTCTATGCAGCTGGATCCGTCAATTTGTTGTACATACTGTATGTCCAGGGTTACAACCTGCCTATATAGAAAATGGACGCATGTATGCTTCAACCGATTTTGATCCCCCCCCACTCCCCTCGGGTCAGTTTTTATTTTTGTTCAGGACCACCCTCATTATTTCACTTTGTCAAGTAGGACGATTAACAGTGTTTTGAGATCTACTGACCATCAACCTCCACCTAACAACATACCCGAAGACTTTGGCTCGGAGTAAACTCCCATTTGAGGTCTCTGTTCAAGGCGCCGATGTTCACTCCTCTTGGGATGTAGATGCTTTGTGTGAGGTCATTGATGTCTTTCAGCGGTCGCTGGATGCCGTCAAAGATGGAGCCCATGACTCCTGGTCCCAACTCCACAGAGAGGGGTTTACCTGTGCGAAGAACTGGGTCACCCACCGACACCCCAGCTGTGTTGCACAGTCAAGGAAAGTGACTAACTGCTAAACCAGACGACAATATATACCAAATTAATATTTGACTTGTGAGAAATGTACATTTTACAGCTTTGGTAACATTTAATGAGAATAGCTTGCCAAGTGTTCCAGGGGAGCTATTAGGGTATACAGTATAAACAGGATACAAGTCTCCTCATAGACTTGGATGGTGGCCATGTCTCCTTCTAAACGGATGATCTCTCCCACCAGCTCACTGTGGCCGACGCGGACCAACTCGTACATGGCGGCTCCTGCCATAGCAGTAGCTGTCACCACTAGAGAAAAGAGAACAAATATTTATGAGCAAACACAATGGCCAAGTACAGTATTTAAGGTATAATATGGCACTTAGGGCATTAGGTTATGATTTAGGTTTAGCAAAGGAGTATCTTACATTTTGAATAACAAACAATAATAATAATACGAAAAGAACATTGAAATTAGATTGTGTTTTCAATCTATTTCCAAAAGGTAAACCAAACCACACCTGGTCCCGAAACTCCATGGACGTATCCAAACTGGCTTTCTCGCTCCGCATCCTGGATCTTTGGAAGCTTTGAGGTATCCATCGCGACAGTCCCTCTTCTGAAAGAGCCATTGAGACGCACGTTACAAACACGCTGTCAGGGCATATAAACAAGCGTAAAGACTTCAACATCTCGAATGTCAATAACAGGCCAGCTCACATGACCCAATGCCGCAGTATGAATGACAGCACAGGGTCAGTGGCAAACACAGATGGGGCTGCTAAACAGTCACTAGCGCTATTACGACCGTCACTTCTATTTTGTTTGTGGCGCTTTTGATTCCAAGTTCGGTATCAAGTATTTTTCGATGAAATCGTTAGTCGAGGTAAAGCTGATTCGTGTACGGGTACAAGTCAGGTGACTGGCTTGCAACGACATGCTAACGTCATCATCCTCATCTTAAACACGAAAAACCGTCATCATTTTCCGAAAAAAAAAAAGGTCGAGTGATACTAACGAGATGCTCAGAAGTCAGCTATGTAAAAAGTAATGTCCCACCTCTCAGAGAATTATAGTAATCCAAGTACAGTTATCCAGGTTTGTCACTCACGTATTGGCCGAAGAGAGAAGCTTAGCTATGCTAATCACCTGCCCGACACTCGACGGTGAAGAAACTGGAAGAAAACGTCGCCATTGTGGCTCGGGCCGTTAGCTTCGGTGCCGAAGAATGCGTCATATCTTGGAACCAACATGGCGGTGAGAGCGCCACAGATTCCATGTCATTGGTCGATGCGGTTCTACGAGGCACGCTACTGACATCTATTGCACACAATTGATAGCTTCACCTCAACTAACTACGAATACAATTAGAATTCATTATTTAATGATAAAATAAACATGTGATTCTAAACACGATTTAAACGTGGTACTGTATTTTGGCATTTAATTATTCACTGTTTATACTGTACTATATTCAAGTGCATTCCACTGCGGATAGTCTCTGTCTCCACAGAGCAGTTTTGATATCAAAGCCATTTCAAACTGACAATAATAATAGCTTGGATTTATATACTGTCTTTCCATCATTCATACATCTTTTTGACAGCTGTCCTACTCCATACCATTCAAAGGAGCAAGGGTGCTTGGCTTGAATGCCCCTCCATAAAAAGTAACATGTAATAAAAAAAAAATAATAATAATAATAATAATAAATGTTTTACTCATGTGTATCTCAAGCATATTGCTTTATTGATCTTATTAAGTGATGATAATTCCAACCAGTGCTGCAACACAGAACTTTGTTCTTTACTGTGACGTAATAATAAGGAATGGGGAACAAGATATACAATAAAAATGAAAGGGATAAAAGATACATAGATGTAGGTACAAGATAGGGAGACTGATGGTGAATTTTTAAAATAATACAATAATGCATAATAAATATAGACATAAATTAGACATTAAAATAATACATTATATTAAAAAAAAACTGATTAAAAAGTATAATTATAGCTGTACCCATTCATGAATTTTCATGAACTTCCCTGCAGACATGTCCCAAGAAGTATGTGGGTTTTATTTGAGTGTCAGTGTTACCTTTAACAGTGGTTCACTAAAGGTTGTGATCAAAAACCATACATGCCATGAAAGATCAAAAGAATGGGGTGGGGGTTCATGGGTAAGATCCTATGCATGGACTGAAAAGGTTGGCCTGAATTCAGGATGTGTGCCAGGAGACTGGTTATTTTTTTAAAATTAAGTTCATCGTTGTTATTTCTGCCAGTGAGGTCATGTTTTCATTGCTGTTTTTATCCAAAGAGGTGAGAACATGAGTCATGATATCATATTATCATTAATAAATACCCTCCTAATAGTCTTTGGTCGCACAGAATGTGAAATGAAACCACATTCTGGTCAGTCGGACCATTCGTTGTCGTCCAGCTCCGAGTCATCATCGGAGTCAGTGTACTCCACCGCAATGCGCCGCGACAGGATGGTGGCCACGTCATTCCCGACTGGGTCGCGCTTGCTCTGCAGCTCTTGCTGCTCTTGCACTTTTCTCAGCTGGATGCCTGTTGACCACCAGCAAAATGTTAGAATGACATCACCAAATGTAAATGTAATGAACATGGAGACACATCAATACTCACCCATTCGGATTGCAGACAACAGATCGCTCCTCACATCTCTCACTGGTTTCATTTCAGCTATGATGCTTCCACTCAGTCCAGAAAGGTGTGATGGGACAGCTGGGGGAGGGAGAGGTGGCGGTGGGGGACCTGGTGGAGGAGCCACGCAAGGGCCTGGAGGAGGGACCGGTGGAAGTGGGTAACTTGGACCAACATGTGTTGTGTCTCCATTATGAGCTGCTGGGGGGGTGAAACCAAAGGCTGTCTGGGCTGACGGGATGGGTGGGCCTTGGGCAGGTGGAAGGTGGGCACAGCTGGTTGGCAATGAAAAGCAAACAGATTGTGTATCATTTTTCAGAACAACAACAAAAAAATAGTCATTCCAGCTCTGATTACATAACACGCGGTTATCATCCAAACATACTTGTAATCTGCAGGCGGACGTATTGACCTATTCATCTTCTCTGCGGCCGGAGCTTCGACCGTTGTTATCTTATAGTTGACGTCAATGCTGTGGTATTCGTGCTCTGCTGGTGGCGGGGAAGGCTGCACGTTCCCATGCGACTTGATAAAGTTAGAAGCACTGTGGGCTGGCGCGGGCGGGGTAGGATAGTCCGGAAGGTCAGGCCTAGAACAACAAAATGAAAGCAAGACAGGATTTGTGGTTTGAAAAAGTCAATTGCTGCTTTATGAATGCAGAACTTGGCTATTGTTGTCACACAGCTAATTGATTTTCAGTTCGACGCCACTGCCAACCACCACCACAAAAGCAAAAATACACATTGTTGAATACCTCTCACACTGCGTCAATGAAAACTAAAATACGCTGTTAATGTCTGTGTGGTCAAGACAAAATGACTTTGGATCTCATTACATTGTGTGAATTGCGTGGCACTGCTATTTTAACACTTTTGCCTCTGTGTTACAGGGATTCTGAGGTGCTAGAGGGATTCTGAGGTCACAAAATGGCACAAACCTGCCCTCTGGGGAGAGCGAACCCTCGGAAGACGCTCCTCGCCGCAGAGTTTGGGGGTGACGGTGATCCGGTCGGAGCTCTTTGTCGAAAGCCATCATGTTCCATTCTTGTCTGCGGTTTCGAGCCTTCCTCACCTTCTTCACCTGGCGCTGGAGGGTGCTGTTTTCCACGCATCGCTTCTGCTCCTGAATGGAGGGTACATTCGTCAGCAAAGCCATTGGCATTGACACCTGCTAAGTAAGTTTCAGCAATATTTGTTGTTTTTTGGAGAGGAGGAGTATTCATGCGCTCACCCTCTGCCTCCTCCTTTCTTTCCTCTTCTCCTCTGTGTCCTGCAGCATTTTCTCCTTCCAGAGGTCAAAAAAGTAGGACGGGTCAGAGTAGAACCTCATGGCGTCACTGCCGTCCTCTCTGTTTAAAAAAAAAAAAAAAAAGAACAAAACCTTGTGTTTATCCCATTTTGTTCACTAGCTAACTCGATTAGTGTCTCCCATCCTTTAATGAGTCAAAATTCTACATTCCAAAAATCTTCTGGCATCGCCAAACTAAAATGTCATCAAATGTATGAACAGTGAAATAATAATAATGACGAGCTTGTCTTAACTTACTAATTTATTTCATATTAAATCAAATGATTCTGTTGTATGAATGGTAACAGATTGATGCAGAGATTATTTGCACCTTCTGCCATTCAGTGGAATAGCATTTAATTATTCTGCCGGTCACTATATGTTACTGGCATAGATAAATAAACAAAGATACGTTCTTCTTTGTAAATAAGCCATTTTTGGACCAATAAAGTGACATTGGATAATGCTCCCACAGCCAAGTAATGTCCTACAACACAATAATTGGGAATCACTGAACTAGATCATCATGCTTTTCACATACCGAAAAGCAGTGAGGTCTTGAAGAGGAGGTGGCTGGTCGCTGCTGTCGTACATATCAGTGACCGAGGTCGGCGTGCTACCTTTAGACAACACCTGCTGGTCCTGAATAGTCGAGCTTTTGAACGCCTTCCTGAGGTTTATGGCCTGAAGAGAGACTGCAAAACAGTATGAAGGGCTATGAAGGGTGGACAACGAATTAGAAAACTTTGTTTTTTTTTTTTTTTAACACATGTTTGTTGTTTGTACAACTGACCTTCTTCCACACTGGAGTCCAGCTGGGTGACCTTGATGGCCAAGCGGTCAATGCGGTCTTGGAGTGAGTTTGCGCGCACATAAAATATGTTGGCTTCATTGAAGAGATCGCCAAATACATTTTCTGCATGTTTACCTGCAATCAACATTTTCCAGAATATCTGTCACAAGAGAGTGGCAAAAAACTGAATACGTGCAAAATAATAAAATGACTGACTATGCTAGCGCATCGGAATATAGGCTAAATGTTATTTCATCCAGTATCCATTGATTGTATTAGTCTACACTGACCGGGCATTTCAGTGACTGTTTGTGTGCCTTTCTAAATCCAATTAATCTGTTTGGATTACGGGAGCACCACGTGATCCGTTCCCAAGCAAACATTAAGAATGGCAGAGATTATTACATGTTATTAGACAGGCTTTGTGTTGCCACCCACCCATTCTCCTTCTTATCTGCCTGTGCAAGCTCGGCAGTAAGGTCAAACCCCTCATAACTTCACTAAATCCCATCACAAACACACACACTGAGCATGTGCACATGTGTGTCAGAGGCTACAAGACAGATGTCCGAGAGTAAATTTGTTTCCAAAAATAGCCTCATATTTATTTTTTTTTCTCCCTGAATGTCACAGTGCAGCAAGTTTGTCGTTGGATCTTACTTAGACTACTGAGCTGACGGATGATGGCTGACAAGGTGTTGTTGTTCACACATTCCAGCTCACTATCAATCCTGTCGGGCACTGCAGCTTGGCACAGGTGCCGAGGTTCAATGGTTCTCCTGACTAAAGGCATTACTCCTTCTCACATCCCATCCACGGCTACCTGCGGGCAGACAAGACGACATTTGTGTTAGGCGATCACCACACAACTCCAAATCTAACGATAAAACCGCTCCCAATGGCAGGAACAAAACCATTCATTGACATAAAAAGACCTGATTATACCATCCCTAATAAACAAGAGGTAACAAAAAAGAAAACTCTCCAATAATTGATGAGGAAGTCACTTAATTTTGAAATCAAAACACATAAATGATAATATGATTCAATATTCACACCACACTGAAAAAGACGGTCATCAGTGAGCTGTTGCAAAACACAATGTCACGCAAAGTGCACGCTTGTAAGTTAAAGTGATGACATAATCATATTTATTGTCCATGTTAGTGTATTATACATCTAAAATGGATGATGACCTCTATGATACAGGAGAAGTCACCATTGCACGCCGGATTTCGAAATTAAAGTATTATATTCATTGCTTCACTTTATTTGATGTCCATATTGTTGCATGTGCATCCGTCCATTTTCTACAGTTCTTATTCTGAGTGGAATCACAGGCGAGCTCGACCCGATACAAGGTGACTTCGAGGAAGAGAGCATGTACACTCTGGACTGGTTGAAAGTCAATCGCATACATATATACAGACAAACATTCATAGTAACATTCACGTTCATGGAAATGATAGTCTTTAACAATTCCGCAATCGACCAAACGTGGTAAAATTTGGACGAGTTTGGGGTCATACGTAGAAAATAAACATTCTTATTTTTGTTATAAAGAATTATTGTACACACAATTCAAAACTTTTCTCTGTTTTTTATTTTTATTTTTATTTTTTACTCTGACCCACAATTCATTGCGTGGCGAGCAAATCAATCCATTCGTGTTCAGGTGCGATACCCGAGAGCGTTTTGAAAATGACCGTGCACCTCACAAATACCACAGGTAACCTTTTTTTTCCAGTTTTCTTCACAAAAACATTCCCTGCGTGAAAATGTAACGGTGGGAGAGAGGAAAAACAAATTTCTCTAAACGCCACAAAATAGAAAAACAAAACAAACCCTTACCTACGTTGTTGTCAGAATTGGGTCCATTATTTTTTTTTCACCGAAGGACGCGAACCGTGGATTCCGAGTGTCTTAATTAAGATAACGTTAAAAAAAACACACACACTTTGATTTAACTCAAAATTCCTCGCTGTTGTCGTGTGCCAGGTAGCTTCTGGAGACATACGTGCACGACGGAATGCACTGTGACAACATGACCCCTCAGTCTGAATCACAACGTGAGGGATTTAGTCAGCAGATTTACTGGATCGACCAATCCCTTAGTGCCATGGTAGACCTCTGACATCCTGTGTGCTTTTTTTCCCCCCTCCTCCAAGGCCCAATTAAGTTCGTACACCTATCGGACAAAGTATGAGTGACGTCATCAATTTAATCAACATTTTTCACCGTGAACATTTCATTTGCCTCTCAATTGACGTATTACGTTGTATTTGTCATCTAATCATGAAAACATGTTCCCCCAAATCGTCCCTGAAAAATAAGACCCCTCAGCCCCCACAATATGCAAAAACCCCCAAATCATCTACAAAGTTCAAACGTATTCATTGCTGTATGTAAAGTTTTGGTGGTCTAATCGTCATTCTTTCCTTCTCAGAGGTAGGGTTCACCTGTTGCGGTGAAAGAGCTCGTTTCACATGTACTTTTCATGTATTAATGCTAACTTTTGCCATTGATACATGCCCGCTTCATTTTTTACATTTGAAATGTTAAAACAAACACAAGAATTCAAGTCCGTTGGATAGCTCCCTGTAGCTGCCCTGGATTAACAGTGAAAGGAGACACTCGGTATTTGATTTGAAAGCATCGCATACGCACAAGCGTGCACACATGTACACACACATACACAACACTCCTTTATCACAGATGGCATCATCTGGATTGTGGGAGGGAGCGGTGTAACCTAGATATATGGAGGCTTAAATCTTTATAAGTAGCACACCGTCACACTCTTCACCCTGCAAACTGCTTATTCCATAAATACATTGTTTAATCCAACATTAAGGGTGTTTGTTCACATTTCGCCTTGTTTTTAATGCTGGAGTATGTTGATATTTTTGCCGAACCCTTTATAGTGTAGTCATGCATGTAGGCAGGAAACAGCTGGAACGACCTTGCACCACTTGCAAGCAGAATGTTGGAATCCTCTATCATTGCTTAATTTACAAGGCTTGATTGTGTGCAAGTGATGCGATCCAAACAGTGAAAGTGTTCACTGTATCATACCTCAATAATACCTTATTGTATAATACAGAAATGTTGTCGATCACATTTGCAGTTATTTGAATAGAGTGGAACTAAGGATTTGATCGGCTGCATGATTTTGAAAATGGCAACAACAACAACAAAAAAATGTCATCAACTACATCATCGAATATGTACAACAACGACCGTCCAAAAGATAATTTCAATAATATCCTACTGTCAGGTCAAACAGTTTTAACATATGTGACAATTTATTTTTTTAATGTCAGTATAAACTCAACCTTTTATGAATGAGTACTGTAGTTCTAATGTTTTATACGGCGGGGAACTTATTTTTACACTTGCATGACAGTTAAAATGTTACGAAGACATTGTCAATACGCTTCATAACAGGACTCTGGAATTTACTACTGTATATTATTTCCATTATTTGTTTTAAGCAGGGTCAACACATCCCCACTTTCCCCCCATTTTTAAAAACTCATGAGCCCTTTTTTTTCTTGGCGGTTGATTTCACGATGATGTCCTGTCACTTAGGGGTCTTCTATGTTTTTGATGGTTCAGTAATCTCCAGATCAACGGTTTTAACCCCAATACAATCCGTACCCCCCCATCATTATCATCTTTGTCGCCGATTGCACTCCAGACCAAACATTCACGTGTTCTGCTATTATGACTTTGTTTCCTGGTTGTAATTGATGTGTCATTAGTTGCATTCGTACAAGAGAGCGTTCACCAACCTTTACATATATGGAATAAGATACCGGTAGCTAAAAAAAATGTTTGAGAGCCACTGGATTTTACGGATTCATATTTTCTTCCACAATAGTGCCGCCTGCTGGTCATTGTTGGTATAGACATGTAAATAAGTACTGTATAGTGGCGTTTTCTTGCATGTATTTTAGAGATGTCAAATATTTCTAATGTATGATTTGAGTTTTATGGACTATTTCATGATCATGAGTTAAACCAAAGTGTATGGTTAATATATGTGTATACTAATATACATTCTGAAATCTTTCCTTGGTTAGATTGCCAGCTGTGTGAAAACTACAAGGCGATGGAGTTTCGTCGCGATGACAGCCATTCCACCTGGTGGGAAATTGCAAGTAAAAAAATCTTTTTTCCTAAATTCCTGACCATCCACTTTGACAATCGTGATGATATTCAAGATGAACGGTATCAAATATTTTGTTCAGTACAGTTGTACGCCGTGTTCTACAGCAACTTGGACAGTATCAATTCAAACTGATCTTAACTAACGTTTTAAAGGTATTGATATTACACAGAAATGCTTATTTTAGCCCTTGTGTTGGATAACACTGCTTTGTGCAATTCGACACAATATTTTGGCAGGTAAGTGGCACTACTACTTTACAGAACGCCGTTTCCAAAACGAATTCTTTTCATGTTCAAGTTGGTTTGACCACTCACAAAGGTGAAGAGAAAATTCCGATTTCATTTTGGTGTTAGTGAGTCAACAGAAACACCCACAAACACCTTATGAAGGATCCTAGCCTGAGACTTATTTCCTAAATGTTGTACAGTATTTGAAACTCCGACTTGTCCGTTCTCCTTGTAGCGCTATCGTAATGTAATTAAACTACTTTTGTCTTCTTGTCTTGTCTACAATGGGCCTCAACAAAAGACGGAACGTTGAATTTTCCCAGAGTGGCGCACCACACATCACACAGCAGCGGGAAAAATAATCAGGCGCCGCTTAATACCGCGTGAAAAGCCCTCATAGTTGCTGAGCTGCCTTAAGTGGGGGGTGACTCTCAGAATGCCTTGGCTTGTTTGTCTCATGGTTTAAGTGGTGCACATAGCCATGGAAAGATCATTAAATCACTGTTTTACCACTTGGCTTAATCCCCACAACAAAAGGGGCCGACGCGAAAAAATGGGGCGAGAGAAGAAAAAAAATGGCGAGCGAGATTAAGAAGAAACGTGATGGATCCAAAGTGACGGCTCGGGTTCCCAGCCTTGCCGAAAGGGAGTTAGGAATCTTGATTCCGTATCTCCCAGGCTGAAGAGTGGCGGCTGATCGGACATTCCCTGTTTACCCCTGCAGTGGCCAGCCGCGCTTGTAGTGTCCGCCGCTGTGGCCATCTGCCGGGATTACCCAGCAGGATATATTTTTATAGAGAGCATCCTATTCATATCCTGCCTGCAAAGGTTTACATTAAGGTTGAACTCGGGTGCACTTACAATGGCAGATGAAGTAAGCCCTGTCCTTCTTACAGCACCCCCCCACCCCCCTTTCCATCTTCTCAACGTTTTGGATGCTGATGGCACAGAGTTGAAAGCGGCTGCTTTTACCGTGCCATGAAAGAGGATCTCACGCAATGCCACTGTCTGCTACCGATTGTTATTTTTTTTTGTTTTGTTTTGTTTTTTTTCCCCCTTCCAAGCAAAGACAAAATGATGCCCAGCGTGAAGGAAAAAAAACCCATTTGGATGTGCCAAGTGGGATTGTTTCAGCTAATAGGCATCAACAGGCCAACTTCTCCCAGTTACCATACAGGTGAACTCATTCCTGGGAAAATGTTTTTCTCTTTCTCAGCCTTGTCGGCGCGATGGCGTCCCCCTTTTTCCTCGCTCTAACGGGATTAGTCGTGCCAGTGCTACCCCGCCTGTCACGGTACTGTCTACTTCCCATCTCTCCTCTGGGCCTCTAATGTGATTAACCCATTGCCTGTGGTCCAAATGGTTCTGGAGCGGGCGGGGAGGGGCGAGGTTGTTGGGGGGGGCAGCTCCTTGGCATGTTCACCATGATGCCCAACTTGCAGTCAGTGGCACCTTTTGTCAGGAAGGAAAGACTGAGGTCAACTTGGTGCTAAGTCGCAGGGGAAGGAATTGTTTGTCTCTTCCAACGCTGATCATTTTAAACAAATGCGTCACCGCTTGTTTAACATTCGACATGCACATGTTTTCATGCGTGTAAAAGCATCTCCCTTCTCAATCCTACCTACCCATCCATACACCTTTGTGGAAATCCCCAAAGGTCCTTTTGTTTACGGCCCAGCGCTCAATGTTAACTGCTTGCTGAGACGATTCTGATTGCCCGACGCCCATCATCTTGTCAAACGTCAGTGGCGGGGGTGGGGGTGGGGT